CCAGCCACGGAGGCTCCAGTGACAGAGGCACCAGCTACTGAAGCTCCTGCCACTGAAGCTCCTGCCAATGAAGTACCTGTTACAGAGGCACCAACTTCGGAAGCACCAGCCACTGAAGCTCCAGTCACAGAAACTCCTGCCGCTCGCACTACAACAGATATTCCAAGTACTTCGACACCCGTCGCAACAACTGCAACCATCACGACTGTTCCTATAACGACAACTGGCAGTTTGGTAACCACGACCTCGACGACCGCAGCTCCGACTACGACAAAGGTTGTACTTACCAACATGCCAAGTACTACAAAACCCGTCGAGCCATCCACACCTGAGGCTCGCACACCGTCTGTCACGCCCGCCACGACCGACAAGATCAAACCTATTCCCTCATCCACGTTGGTGCCCGAACGCACTTTTATCACGACCACGTCCCGCCCTGACGGAAAGACCACGGAAAAGCCAGTAACCACACGTGTCGAGTCGTCCGCGTCGACTCTTGGCCGCACATTTGTCGGCATTCTCGTCGCGACCGTCTTCGCGCTCTACTAGACAATAGTTTGTTGCCGTGGATTCAATGCATGATTTTCTTCATCTCTACGTGGCGGTGCGACGTGGCATGCCGTGACCAGGTCCCTTTCGCAAGGTTGCAAATATCATGTCGGACCCTCACGGGGTTTTGGCGTGAATTATCACGTCCTGCCGTGCCGAGATGGCCCAATTTCAGCAGAGCACCACAGTGACGAGTGAGTACAAACGCGTGGGAGGCGTACATGCTTCAATCATCTTCGTTGGCGCCATCGGCGTCGACCAGTCAGTTTCTCGAATGAGTGTGCAAAAGCCACTCGACCGACGAGACGATCTGCATGGCTGCGTCAGGAGTGGTGGGTGCAATTGTCGGATGCCTCATGCTTTTGTGAACTCACGCGGGCGAGTCGATCTTGTGGACCAGCGATGCACGATTCGTTGATTCATTTCTGTGCCCACAAGAACAAATTTCACTTCCCTCGAGCGCTCGCTTCGACTTGCCACGTACACACGTGCGGTCACCGGCATGCTACTTCATGGTAGTGAATGGCGCATTGGCCTCCCTCGACGTCCCCCTACGACCCAAACACGGTCCGAACACGACTGCCTCGACAGCATTCGCTTTTGCTACGACGAGCCACAAAGTGTGGAAGACAATGGCGACAGGTTGAGCTCTACCTGTTGTTGTATTACACGACCACAGGAGAAGCACGGGTCCATGAAAACTAGGAGCATTGAAATTCAACCGAGATCGTGTCAACTCGACCAGCCGAACCAAGGGGACGTTGGAATTGAGTGGACGAGGACTGACTTCAGTCCACATGAGATTTAAATTAGGTAGTACTCCGGAGTATTAATACTCCTGAGAAAATGTACTCAGGACCTCTTGTAGTGAACATAGTGAACACATACAAAAATGCTCAAAATAGCTCAACACACTTGACCAAGGCGGGAGCACACAATGTGCCTTTGGTCACACTCCTAACAGGGGCGGCATTGGGTCACACCTGTACCCACATTGAAAGTGTTGCTGTGGCAGCGCCGGGATTCAAAGCCAAGGACGTTCCTGGTTATGGCCCCGCGTGTGGGTCGCCTTGGCCACACAGATCAAGATGCCCTGCGTTCTGCGACTACGTAGGCATCGCACTTGTCGTGGAAAATTGCACGTAACGTGACGGATCTGTGATTTGCCGAAGGATCTGTGATTTGCCGAGGAGGATTAGCCAACAGAATATCAGAATTCTTGTCATTGGATAAAATGAAATACTGCAACAAATAACACCTTTAGTACTTTATGGTGGGAAACTGCAATGAATTTCAGAGGTCATCACCGCGATTCAAATCAAAATGCCGCCAAGAACGACATACACAGCAAACGATATGACCAATGCCATTGCCGACGTAACCTCGAATACGTCCACAATCGTCACAGCAGCTCTGAAGTATGGGATTCCAGAGCGCACACTTCGCCTCCATGTGTCAAAGACCAAGAACCCAGATGCCACGATCAAGACTTTTGGCCCGTCACTGATGCTGCCGCTCCAGTACGAAAACGACCTTGTGACATGGATACTTACTGTGGAACCTGACGGACATCCTGTTACCCGTAACGAAATCCTGCACAAGGCCAGTGCCATGATAAGCGTTGTTCAAGGATATGAGCAAAATGCTCTATCATTCCTTCCATCTTTTATATATTTCAGCAAGTAATATTTCTCTATAAAACAATAGTTTTGCGGCTCTGTCGTCCGAAAATGTCAATACTGGAATCAAGTATAAATTTCGGCATATCACAGATCCACTGATTGAGGAGCGAACTTCTTCAATTTTTTAGCCATGAATGCAACCCTCAATATTGATAAGTCCGTGGACCGCTCGAAAAAGCTTAAGACGATACATTTGAGAAGGTAACTTTTGTGTCGAGTTCTCAAAAAATGGAGATGTGGTCAATTGAACGGAGGACACAATCGGCAAATCATGGATCCGTCACGTTAGTCGAGAAACATGGCTTCAATCCGCCAGCAGAACTTTATCCTGATAAAAGTTCTCAACCCTCAAGATCAGCCTCCCCCCCCCGTTCATTTCACACTCGAGAGACCAAAGTCACGAGGGACCGCCAACAAGGTCCATCCTCGTCCTCTTCCATCCATGGAACGCGCGCGGAATGGCATAGCTGGCCGCACCCACCAACCACCACGCCATCGCGAAAACCCAGTCGCGGGCTCGTTGGCCTTTCCATTTTTTGACATATTTGACGAGAGATTCGAGGGCGGGATATCGAAACATACAGGCACGTTCGTGGTGGTGCTGGCCCCTCCTCAACCCCTCACCGAACGATGCTGTTGTCCGCGGCGAAATGGCAGCGGTTCGTGCATGCACATGGCCAAAACGAATCAAACATCGCGTTCGTTCTAACATCGAGGAGGTCGGGTGAAGTTACCATGCGCAGGCGTATGACGAAGTGGCACACGCCATTGCGATGAGGCACCATCTACGAATGGCACGGGGCGTGTTGTGTGAAGGACCTTCATGGCTCAGCCATGCATATTCCTCCTGCACCTGCTGAGCTACACCCATCGTCGCACACTGCGTGCCGCCTTCGTCCATTCGATCGTGTTCCTCCCAAGTGTCGTCGTAGCCGTGTCAGGTGAGAGCGACTGCCGCGATGGATAGAATTCGACGTGTGCATGTCCTTGCACGGCTCTGACGCGCATGATCGTTCTTCACAGTAGCGCTTGGTCGATGAGTGAGTGACGCCTGTACTCCCTTGCAGACATGGAGCCCAATGCATAAACGCACGCACCCGACCCTTCGTCATCCCAAACACCGACATTTTGCCGTGGGTGCTGGACTCTACGATGCCTTTCGTCCCAGCGCAAGCGATCGACACAATGCTCTTGTCGACGCAGTCGCGGCTGACGCATCTTCGACACCGACCCACCGTTGCCATCCGCAGCATTCCACTAATCCGTCGGCAACACACCATGTATGCAAGCGCATCTGGCCAACGCTAGCGCTTGTCTTCTCGGCCACACATCCAGTGTCATGCCATGGTACCACCAGCGGAGAGAAGATGCGGCTGCCAGTAGACTGTCGTCGTTGGCGCAGGTTTCCACCCAGGACAAATTAGACGTTGCTTTTTGTGTATCGCTCACAATTATCTGGTCTAGGCATTGCGAAGATGGTCGGCGGCGGAGTGCCGCGGCGATTGAGACTACTCTGCTTGTACGTGCGCATTCCCCTGTTCGTTGTGCAAATGGTCAGGTCGTGTCGTAGGCATGGTTGGCGAACGAATGCAGCCGTGATGAATGCTCAGCTCCAAGGGTTCCGGAAAGCATTCGGTCCTGACGGTGTCGACTTCACAATCCTCCACGCTCCGTTCGCCGCGTCGGGGCCAGCGCACACGACTGTCTCGGACAACTTTGATGGACCATTTTTCGAGTGGTGGGACTACATCGAGCATCCTGCAGGGGCGCCGAAACGACATGAGTACGTTGGATGGAAAGCGTCGCTCGAGTTTGCCATGGATCGCATCGACCGCGATGGCCCGTTCGACGCGTTGGTGGGCTTCTCGCAAGGTGCTGGCATGGCGACTCTTCTCACAGCGCACTACTCGTCCACCACGCGCATTCCGTATTCCGCCGTGGTGCTGTGTTGTGGGTTGCTTCCCCGAGACGGCATGCCACGTGGCCTTGCACTCCCGTTGTCCATTCCGTCGTTCCACATCCTGGGAAAAGCAGATTCGCGGTATGGTTGGGGTCGCAAGCTTCTCAGCGCATACGATCCACGGCAGCGGCAAGTGTTCGAACACGCTGGTGGCCATCGATTCCCAGTCTACCCAGAGTACATGGCCACGTACAACTCGATAGCCCACGACCTACGGGCCATTTGCATCGCCTAGTGTAGTAAGTGGCCGCAGAGCCTTCCAGCGATATAGCCCATGTTACAATCTCTTTGTCGGCATGCCTGTTCACGAAGCCTTGGAGTGGGTCCCGGGCCACCACAGACGTCGACAGGTGTAGCTGTTGACCGTTCAAAGACCACGACGACTACGTCTCGATCGAGTGGCATAGCTGAGGCAGCTGGCCTGGAATCTGGGGGAGGCATCACACCAGCGGTGGAGCTTCGCTCAACTCGTCGCCGATGCTGCGCTCGCACTCAACAAGGAGGGGTCGCGCGCGTCACCCGGCGCAATGTCGAGTGCTCTGTCAAACATGACAACAGTGTATCGACAAGCATGGCCTCGCCGTCATCACTTTGTCCACTCAACCAACCGCCTCGTGCACCAGGACAAACTCCTCGCTCCAAGTGCGGGACGGATGGCATGCCGAAGCGACAACTCGCCGACCACGCGAGCCCTGCATGTCGCTGTGTGCTTCCACCGAATGCACGTTTTCGTTGAAGTGCCACGTGTGTTAGCGGGAGCGTCGCACTCGGCCAACACACACGAAGTTGGCGAGCGATGCCCTGAGAGGTGCAAGGGGTTTCGTCCGTGTCACATCGAGTCTTCCGCGTCATGCTCATGGAAAGTTGCGTGTGACGTCGTGAGCGCCGCGAGCGCAAGAATGAACAACGGCATGTGGATCGATCGCGGAACGATGTCATGAAAGCGATATCGTCAAGGCATTCTCGGCTGATCTATCCCTTCTCCGAGAGCAGCTTCACACGTGGGCTCGTGCGGGAATCGAGGCCGAATAGGTCGGAGAACGGTCGTGGGAGTAGTTATCATTCAAACGTGCCATCCGCCATCAAGTGCTCCAGCGCAGCTACAAGCATCGGGTCATATACATATCCGACGAACGGTGCACAACGTACCTTCATAGGATGCGAGGTAGTACCCGCTTTCACCCATCCGCTTCTCGGGATCGCTCAGGACGTTGAGCACGCGCAAGAGAACGAGGGGGTTCGTCAAATGCGCGTGCACGATGACGAAGATAAATATCGGCAAAAAATCGTCGCCGCTGAGGACGCAGGCGTCGCCGTGCTCGCGCTGGAACGTCCGGTGGATTGTGACGGCACACTCGAGGAGCTTGCGCATTTTGTCCACTGGGAGATACATCGAGTCGACTTCTTTCAGCGTACGTACGGCGTCCCACCACTGGCTCGGACTCTGCGTGGCCTCTGTGATTTCAAATGCTTCCTGCGGTTGACCCGCAAGTCGAATGATGCGCCGCTTCATAGCTGCTTCCTTCGACCGCATGCTGCCTTCCAGCGCCGTCCACAACCCTGGCAGCACTGGCACACACACGCACTCTTCCACCTCGTGCCGGATCGCATCCGAGATCCACTCGTGGACCACGTCGTTTTCGACATCTCCTTGGCTCAACCGACTGGCCACATCGGCCACATGGGCTCGCATGTCGTCCATCCGATGGGCCATCATGTACTCCTGCACGTTGTCGAGCACCTGGCCCAGGTCGTCAAGGGCAGCAGTGGTCGTCCGGGGCTTGGCGAGGAATTTGCGGCACACTTTTCCCTCAGGGGTCGTTGCATCTTGGAGCACATGGAAGGCGTATACGCGCAGCGTGCGCATCGTGGGATGCGTCGTGTTGTGAAAGAGAGTTGCCGAGTCCGGCAGCGCAAGGAAGGATTGGAGCAGCACGAGAGCGCCAGCGCGGGCAATGGTGAGGGGCGCGGGGGTGACGAGGGATGCCACCAGCCGAAGGTACGCTTCGAGGGCAGGCTGGCGCCTGGCGGCGACGCGCGAGTCTTCCTTCTTGCTCAGCCCCGTCTGCCTCGACGGAAACGGGAAAGCATTCACCCGCGTCATGAGCGCCGTCAACTAGTCCCCAACGACATGAGCACGATCGCTTTTTTCAACCAAACCTTGCGGTGAAACTTGCGGAACTCTTTGAACCGACGCCGCGTAAACACGACCACCCCCGTTTCGAGATCGCTCGTGCGGATCTCGTACTCCTAAGGACGGAGCGAGCGAACGCGCTGGGCGTGAGTCGCCAAGTGCGTCACCGCAAGGGGACGAAGTACCGTGTGTTGGCTGGTCGTGATGGCTTTGATGATACGAATGGACAAAGCATGGCGAATGTCTAATGGAGATTTGCCTCGGTTCATGCGTGCTCGAGAGGATGACTCGATGGGCTTACTTTTGCATTTGAGAACAAGGCAATTCCACTGGTGGTCGGTGATCATCGCGTGGCTTGTGCCGGCGGTCGTAGCGGGCATCTCTGTCGGCTACGCCAGACGCAGCGTGAGCCACATCGCGACAGGGTCTCTTACCCCCTTTGTCGACATGCGAGTGAGAATCATCGAGCGCAAGTTTTCGAGTTCGTCGCTCGCAATGAGTCCGTTGCGGTACAAGGCACTGGCTTTTGTTAAACAGTCGAGCAGTCGATGCGGCTCGCGAGTGCGGATGCGATCTTCGGCGCTTACGATGTCCAGCTTGCTTCGCTACTCGGACAGCGCATGAGCTTGCGTCGGGCTGTCCTGTAGGTACCTTGATCACGGTCAGTTTTGCAAACAAGCTGTCGGTGCGCGAGTTGGGGCGCCCAAAATGCCGAGTGCGTTGAAAGCGCCGGTGAACGTTGGACAAGTCGTCGCCATCAAGGGGGAGCACGACCGGAATGGCCATTGGGACCGACTCGGCTCGTTGGGCCGATCCATCCACCGCTCCTAAGTTGTCGCCACCATCGTCACCGAGAAAATCGCGGCCATACAGCGTGCCGTCGTCGTGAGCGTACGAGCTCTCTTGTCGAGCCAAATCGTCCGGGTGCAGGGGGGCACTCGCAGTTTCATCAACGACATCATCAACGTCGAAGATCGTGGAGTTGCCAGAGCAAGAGCCCGATGGAGAGGAGGAGGCCGCGAGTTCGCCTGGCACGCGAAGGAAGTCGTCGGGCAGAGGATTCTTCACCACGTATGCAAATGGCAACGTCTGCGTGGATCGCATCATGTGTTCGTGTTCGGAGGCTTCCTCCATCTTGAGGACGGCCGTGATTGCATCGTCCAAGACGAATTCTGGACCAAACACCAAACAGAATGACCCTGATTGACCGCACGGATGGAATTCGTACCATGAGCTTCGAGTAGCAGATGCAGGGTACTCACGTCCCAGTTGGGAAAGATGGACTTCAACTGGTCTACGTATGTTGGAGCCCCTTCGTGATCGAGTTGTGGCCGCGTCGGAAGAGGAGGTTGAGGAGACAGCGGTTGCGCACTGCTGGAGTTCAGGTTTGCCGCGTGGTTCAGCCACTCGCGCTTCTTTGTCTTCATAGAGTCACTGATTTCTTGAAACCAGGGCGGCAGGAGGGGTGTCGCTTTTGACTTGGCCTTTGACGGATCTGGTCCACGAGACGAGTTTCCAGGGAACGAGCCAGGATAGTTCAAGCTGGAGCGATGCTCCATGTACTGCGGAATCCATCAGCTATGAAGAACGCGACCAGAGAAGTCATGAGGGACACCTACCTCGCGCCGGAAGAACGCCGCGCAGCCTCGGTCAAGCGATTCAACACCGCGTTTCTTGCAATTGTGGCAAAATGTACGGATAATGTTATGCGTTAAAGAATAAAACGTCCGGATTTTGATGAATGGTAACCGCAACTGAACTTTTCAAAATTGGAAAATAATCTTTAAAATTCCAAAGGTATTCATATCCATTGGTATTTCCTTACACTACGTGGGAGATAAGCATTTTAAATATTAAATATACATGTATTTTTACGTTGGGTTTTTACTTGTTCATGTCAGTTGAGCACAAGCAATGGCAACGGAAGAAGCCGTCGTCCGCGCGCGGATTGCTGCATTAAAGACCCTTCTTGATTCTCAAGACCGGCAGACTGCTCCACGGGTACCACAAAGGCACACGAGCCTCGCCCACGCACCCCACCAACAACGTCACGCACGCCACACTTTCCATGCCCCACCGCGGCACCGATCTCTCAACACTCCTGCCTTCCGACCTCCACGTAAACCCCGCAACCTCACGTGGAAGCCCTCTGAATCCGCTTCTCCTTCTTCCTTGAACCAGTCAATGACATCGTCTACAGTTGCTCTCACTGTCCCCGTGCCTTCTGCTCCAGCTACATCTATCTCGCAGAAACGACCATTGTCCACAACAACCCTCTCTCTTGACGATGGTACATATCGAAAAATGGGACGTGGCTTCAAGCTGCGCCGGGAAGATGCACCCCCCAAGTCTGCCATCGAAGTGAGTGCAGCCATTGCGACGACGAGGCAACTGCAGACCCAACCTTCTGCGGCAGCGCCCCCACCTCTTCCTGTACATACGCCTTCGAGTCTCCCGACACAACCGCCGCCGCGCTCTCTCCAGCATCCCCGTCCTCTCGTCCCGCCCCCGCGTACCGAACTTTGCCTCTTTTACATCAAACATGGCGAATGCAAACACAAGCACGATTGCTTGTTCGTTCACGACAGCCGCACCAAGTCCATCTGCCGGCCCTTCCTTCGCGACGCATGCCCACATGATGCCTCCACGTGCAAATTATCGCATTGTCCCGACCAGGTACGGCTTTCTTTGCCTTGTATGCTTTGTTGATATGCGCAGCACAAGATGCCCGACTGCGCCATGTTCCTCAAGGGCCTCTGCTCTCGCGAAGGCTGTCACTATCGCCATGTGAATGTAAGTCGCGATGCTGCTCTATGCGATGCCTTTTCTCTGCGTGGGTACTGCGCTGACGGCCCAGCTTGCCGGCGAAAGCACGAGTTTACGAAAGGCGTCGCTGGTGGGCGCAAGCTCAGCGGTCCACCGCCACCGACCGCGCTGGTCCACAACGAAGACGTTGCCGCAAACGACGCAGCGCGAGAGCCTTCCTCGCTAAGCCTTCGGCCCACGATACGTTTTACCCCGAAAGTGATTTAAATTAAATGAGATTACCATCAACTTGATGCCGACGGAGCGCGCTACGGGGTTTTTGTGGTCGTGGTGGCTGCTTTTTGGCGCGACTGCAACCGCTTCATTTGGGCTTCCACGGCCACCTTTGCGCGCTTGGCGTCTACACCGCGGCCGCACGTGTTGATGATCGTGGGTTGCGAAGAGGAAGGCGAAGCTGACGTCGGCACGTCGGGCTCACGCTTGCGCTTGCCCTTGGGTGGCGGTGTGAGCAGATCGACCTTGCGTGTCGAACTTTTCTCAGCAGACGGTGGGGGCGCCGGCAAAAGATTCAGAGGCGCTGCATCGGCATGTTTGCGGGCGAGTTTCTCGCGAATGCGAATGACTTGAGCAGTTTCAGGGAGGGGTTCAAATGTCCGACGCACGATCGTTGGTTTGGTGGGAGTCAACAAGCCAGCAGCTTGAATGGCCTCTTTCTTCGGATCGTTCTCCTTCCCCTCCTCTTCGCCAGTCTCTTCATTGTCCTTCTTCTTCTCAGGAGGGAGGGCCGCTGCGGCAGCCTCGGCAGCTTGCACCAGCGCCCGACGGCGTCCTTGATACACCATCCTTGTATTATATAATATTCCGATGACGTTTGTTTGCCGCGGAAGAAACGCATGGACTGTGAAATTGGTGCGTGTTCATTTAATCTTGAAATTTGTATGCATTTCCAACAATCGTAATTTAAACGGCACTGGACCTATCGAGTTGCATACTATAATAAAGAGAAATGTTACCGCTGACGGAGGGTTAATAATTTTTCGGCGTGGGCATGTCGTCGTGAACCAAGCTTGTCCCCCTGAATCGTTTTGCAAAGTTAGCTGTAGGACATGATGCAGATGTTGGTCGTCGTCGTGACACGACCTCTCCTTCCCATTGGACCAACCAACTTTGTTCAACCACTGGCCAAGCAAGACCGCGGCGGCATCGTCATTCACTTCAAGGTCGACCATGGACTTCCAGAAGCTCCCGCTGAAGCAGTTCCCGCAGGCGACCAAGACCATCTCGCCTGAAAAGTCGTATTGGTCGAAGCTTCGCGCGCCACATGAGCTCAAGCAAGTCGCGATGATCTCGAGCATCGAGGCCAACCCGTCCGCGCCGCACGAGTTTGCTGTGTCCACGTCTACCCGCGTGCAGTTGTACAGCACAGCGACGAATGACATTGTCCGCACATTCTCTCGCTTCAACGATGTCGTGTACAGCGCGTCGTTTCGCGGCGATGGCAAGCTGTTGGTTACAGGGAACGCCAACACACAAGTGTCTGTGCTCGACGTCGGGTCGCGTACGGTGCTTCGGATCATGAACGGCCACAAAGGGGCTGTTCGGTCTGCCAAGTTCTCCCGAGACCACGTGCATATCTTCTCTGCGTCCGATGACAAGACGTGCCGCTTCTGGGATCTCGCGACGGGCACGCCCGTGGCTGTCATGGGCGACCACACCGATTACGTTCGCCATGCCGTGCAGCATCCGTCGGCATCATCGCATGTGTGGGCCACTGCCTCGTACGATCACACAGTTAAGCTGTGGGACATGCGCATCGCTGCTGGAAAGACGTCGTACTCGTCGACGCTGTCCATGGACCACGGTGCGCCCGTCGAGAAGTGCTTGATTCTTCCTGGTGGCAACTTGTGTCTGAGTGCCGGGGATAACATGATCAAAGTCTGGGACCTGCTCAGCGGCGGCAAATTGCTGCACCAGTTCTCGTCCCATCAGAAAACGATCACGAGTCTGTCGATGGATGGGACAAATACGAGGCTCGTGTCGGGGTCTCTCGATGGCCACGTCAAGATATACGACTTAGCTTCCTACGAAGTTCTCCACGGATTCAAGTTTGGCGACGGCGTCCTCTCGGCCGCACTCACGCCGTCCAACTCGCACTTGGCGGTCGGCACTGTCTCCGGCATGTTAACAGTGCGCCGCCGCATCACAACCGACGACGCACCAGCCACGGACGAACTACCTGTAGTGCGAGGGGGTAGCTACAAGTATTTTTTGCGCGGCACCCGAGCCAAGCCGACAGACGCGGACCACGTCATCACTTCTCGTCGACACGCGAAATGCGCGCCGTACGAGCAGGCACTGCGGGCGTTCGACTATCGCAAAGCTCTGGACAACGCTCTCGACACGAGAAATCCCACCGTGATTGCGAGCATGCTGGAAGAGCTGCGACTGCGGCAGGGTTGGCAGAGTGCGCTGGCCTACCGCAACGAAGAGGCGCTGGAACCGCTGCTGTCGTTCTGCATCCGCTACGTGACGGACCCCAAATACGCCGCGTTGCTCCTTCGAGTGTGCACGTTTCTACTCGAGTTGTACAGCCCCATGCTCGGGACGAATCAGTCTAGCGCGGTGTTGGAAGGCCTCTTCTTCAAGCTCAAGAACAGACTCAAGGAAGAGCAGATTGTCCAAACATCTCTCTTGCAAGTCATGGGCATGGTTGAGAGCATCATGACGGCGCAGTCGACAGCCCACAGTGGCACGCCGAGTGTCGCCGCTTCGGAGGAATTGCCGCCTGCTGTGGAAATTGCCGCGACGAATGTTAAAACTCAGTAGACAACATATTTGTGTACCTTTGGAGCTTTGCTAATATTTGTGCAGTGAGCGCTTTTATGGTGGGTGGACGGGAGAGACGGCACGCATGTTTGATTGATCTTGACATGAGGGCTGAATTAAGTTTATGTCTGTGACGACGATGGAGGCGGATGGAGCCGCGGAGTCTTCAGAGGAGTGCGAGGCGTCGGTGGTGGCGGTGCGGGCGTTGCGTAGTGCTTTGGGTTGATTGTGACGCTCTTAGTCGTGTTGTTCGTCTTGTAGATACCGACAAGTCGATCGGCGAGCTCAAACATGTTGTTACGTAGACTGATGATGATAAACTGAGCGTTCTTCGTGCGTTGCTTGATGTAGTTGGCCACGATCGATACGTTTTTGAAGTCCAGCGCAGCGTCGATCTCGTCCATCACGTACAGCGGCGTCGGCTTGTAGTGGTGCAATGCGAAGACGAGGGCGAGCGAGGCGAGGGTCTTTTCGCCCCCACTCAGGTTTGAAATGTTCTTCCAGCTCTTCTTGGATGGCCGCACAGAGAACACAATACCTTCAGAGAACGGGTCGAGAGAGTCCACCAGTTCTAGTTCGGCATCCCCACCCAACGTGATCATCTGGTACATTTCTTTCAATTTGAGCGTGATCACGCGGAACCCAGCCATGAACTCGTCGAGACGCAGCCGCCGAAGCTCCTCGTACGCGCGGCGCTGGCTATCGCGGGCTTCCGTGGCTTGTTCAAGGTCCTGCATTCGCAACATATGTTCCTTTTCCTTCTTTTTGTACTCGGCAATCGAGTTCATGTTGACCTTCTCTTTGAGTTCGTCGCGTTGCTGCTCTAAGATGGAGATTTCGTACTTGAGCTGCTCCTTGTTGCATCTTTCCAAGTCGGAAGGATCAATTGTCGGAAGGCCATTGACGACTGTTTCCGTCAGCGCTTCATTTGAATCCAGCAACAGGTTGAAATCTTCTTCGTCGCGTTCGTATTTAGTGTGCAACTCGGTCAACTTGCCAGTCCAGTACTTAACCTTTTCCTCGTTGTCGGCGAGAAGCTTTTCGCATTCGTCGAGCTGGCTCAACAGGTCGACTTCGGCCGATGCCAGGCCGTCCACAGTCTTCTTGAGCGTATCAAACTCCTTGCGCTTGTCATCCAACACACTTGAATGTTCCTCGAGAAGTGCCTTGGCAGCTTCGTGCTTGTCACACACTACCGCCGCGCTATCTTCGATTTGTTTGTATTCGGCACGAAGCTTTTCCAGCTTGGCAATGTTATCGGCCTTGTCCTTTTCCATTTTGACTTGAGTCGCCGCCGACTTTTCCAGCGCTTTCTTGGCCGCCTTGACATCCACGCGAAGTTTCGTCAACGCTTTCGTCTGCGTGTCGATTGACTTGGTCAGTTCTTCCACCTTTTGACGCTGTTGTTTGAGCGGTACCCCACCGATGTTGAGGATTTTCTGTTTTAGTTGGTCAACTTCGGCTTGCATCGAGTCTACATTTGCTTGCTTGGACGCCCGCTCGACCTCGAGCGTCTTGACCTGTTTTTCCAGCGCCTTGAGCTTCTTGTTTTCTTCGGGAGTTAAGTGGACCTTCTTCTCCAAAATCTTGACCCGTTCTGCCAAGCTCATGGCTCTTGAGTTGGCCGCTTCAATTTCCATTGCCATCTTCGGCAATCGTCGTGTGTGGCCTTCGATCGTGTCCTCCAGCCGTCGCACTTCTTGCTCAATGTTGGAGCGGGCATTTCGAATATTATACAGAGTAGATTTGAGTGATTCAGCCTCCTTTTGAAGGGCGGCGAGGTCTTCTGCCGATATGTTGCTCTGTAACTCACTCGACATGCCACCACGACGCACGCGATTGCCGCCCCCAGACATAGCTCCGCTCAGTTCAATCATTTGCCCGTCCAACGTCACGACGCGGTACTTCGCGCTGCGGCCTTGGTACGCAATACTCGTAGCTTCATCCAAATTTTTGGCGACAAGGGTGTCTCGCAGAGCAAAGTAAAACGCCGGTCGAAATTTATCCTTGGAGACGCGGACAAGGTCAAACAGGCGTGGGATGGGTGCGTTGAACCGGTCGCCTTGGCATTTATTGTGAAGGTACGTCATTTTTTCCAATATGATGAATGTAGCACGACCCAGGTTGTGCTGGCGAAGGTACGCGACGCACAGCTGCGCGCCATGAGTAGTCTCCACGACGAGGTTGTCCAATGCGCCACATGCCGTGGAAATGGCGACGTCGTACTTGGAGTCGATGGCCCCCAGATCGCCCAGTCGGCCGAGGAGACCGGCATGTTCAAGCTCAAAGCCAGGTTTCGTCGCGTTCATCAAACTCTTGAGCATGCGGTTTTGCGTCGCATGCGACTGAATCGAGTGTGTCGCTTCGTCTGCTTTGGCCCGCGCGAGTTGGTAGTCTTTGTTGAGGGTGGATTCTTGGGTTTGGGCTTCAGAGAGCTCCGCCTTGGCTTCCTTCAATCGTGATTGCATCGTGCGCAGTTCATTTTCCATTGACGATGCTTCTGCCTTGATATCCACGATTGACCTCTCCGCCACTTTGATTGCTTGCTTGGATTGAGCCAAGTCTTCCTTGGCCTGAGTCGTCGACTCCCGTAACAACGACATTTCAGTCTCCAAAGTGTCAATATTAGCTCGCATCGAGAGCACTTCTTGTGTGAAAGGCAGCATCGCGCTCTGTTTTTCCTCCATGATTTCACGAAGGCGTGCCGACTCTTCTTTGTGGCTTTCAATCATGTCTTCGAGCTTCTGTTCCGCAGCTTGCAGCGATGCTTTGTCGTCTTCAATGCTTCCTTCGAGGCCAGGCTGCTTGGCCTCGTTATCTTCGATAGTAGCTTCTAAATCCGCTTGCTTCTTTTGTTCTTTGGCGTATAACGCGTCGTGATCTTTGACCTGCTTTTTCGCAAATTTGATTTCTTCGCGGACTTGCACGTCACGCTTCTCGAACTCGGCAAACTCGGCCTCGACCGTCTCCATGTCAGCCTTTACAGTGGCGTACGCAGCATGGACTTTGTCATATTCGCCTTGCATTACTTGGAGCGCGGCGCGGTGTTCAGCCATGCGCGCCATTTCCTTGTTCACTTTGGCTTGCATCCCATCGCGTTTCGTTTGGCACTCGGCGTGGTTGGCCGTCGACTCGTGGACAAAGTACTGGAACATGAGGTTCGTCTTGAGGTAGACTTCGCGCTCTTTCTCTAGGTATTCCTGTGCTTCGGCCTTTGCGTCTTCCAAGTTGCCCTTTTCCTTCTCAACGACCTTAACACGGTTGAGTTTTTCCACGCGATCTTCGTTCAACGCTTCGACTTGCTTCAACGCAGCTTCAGTCGGTTCTACGTACTTGTTCGACCCAATAATATCTTCCAAGTACTCCAATAACCCCTCGTCGTGCGGGCCGTCGGCCTTGCTCTTCATCATCGCAATCTGCTCAACTTCGCCCTGCAAGATGAGAAAACGATTGTTGTCGAGGTCGATGCCGCGTTGGCGAAGCAGCGCCGTGACTTCTGTGAACGTTGACGTTTGGCCGTCGAGAAAGTACTTGCTCTGATTCGCGCTGTTGGCCGTGCGCGTGACAACTAACTGTGAACCAGGTACGACAGTGTAGTCCTCGTCGCCATCTCCAGTGTCGATGATGTCCTGAAAGTATACAGACACGCGCGCTTCCTTGAGGTTTTGAAAGTTGGAGCTCTTGTGGATCAGTTCTGATACTTTAGATAGACGCAACTTCTTGGCCCGTTTCCCAAACACGAAGAGCAGTGCGTCGATGACGTTGCTCTTACCACTGCCGTTGGGGCCCACGACAGAGCTGAAACATTTGTGAAATGGGCCGATTTCACGGACACCCGCGTACGATTTGAAATTCTCGACGGCAAGTTTGCTGATCATGAGCCGAGGAGTGTCCTTCGCTGGTGCTGAGTGTTGGGGAGTCGAAGGAACACCGACAGATGCGGCAAAGGGAGTTAGCAAGCTCCTTCGATTGATGGGAGTTGTTGGTACTGGGGTCGAGAGAGCATTCGGGAGTTCATCCACACCGTTGGTATCAGGTTGTTTCTTTTGTTGCGGAGGTGTTGACGGAGGATTCTCTGCGTCGTCATCGTCCATGTCAACATCTTCATGTCCACCATTCGACGGTGTTGACTCGTTGAGGCGATGCTCCTCCGCCGTGGACGCGTCCATCTCGACGTCAGCTTCGTCTGGGCTGCTCATCGTTCCGGCGGTCTTTCGATTTGAAAAAGGCCGCCCTCCAGGTTTGAATTTGATTGGGTTGGGCCATTATCCGGGAAGTCGTTGCTTCCGCATAAACCTCTGCTTACTGATATTATCAAAATATAGAGGAATGTCCCATCCACCATTCAATGGGCAGTAATATTTTCCAAATTCAAAACGAAAAATACAATTGATTTTGCCATGCGTGCATTCAAATGCGCCGTACTCATGTGTGTTTGGAATAAATTATTCAGCTGGATATTGCCATTGTTTATTTAATTTGGCTCTTCGCCATAATTCCAAGATGACGCGGGCGGTCAACTTCGAGAGCACGCACAGCGCCAAGGCGGCGGCAGTCAAGAAGCAAGTGGATGCGGATCCCTTGGACGAAAGCCTGATCAGTCTGTTGGAAGCTTATTTAGATGAACAAATTGCCACGGGTACTGTCGATGAAGAAGCCAACATGATGTTGCTCAAGTTGTACACGATCTATTCTACCCCTGTGGACCATCAACTTCCTCGTGCGATTCAAATCTTGGTCAAGGGCCTGATGACCTTGCCTTCCAACTTCTTCTTGGGCGCGAGCTACCTGGTCTCGGAATCGTTGCGCAAGGTGCGGCGTTTGGTGATTCCGATTTGCACGGTGAAAGGTGTTGACGATGGCGGTGTGTGTAGAACAAGGACGTCACGGAACTTCTGCAAGCCGGCTCGTTGCTCCAAACGTGCCTCTTCCCTGCGTTCTGGCAATTGCCGCTTGTGTCCGCGAAGAAAGTGCCTGGGTTTGACGCGGCTGTCCGAGAATACATCGTGTCTGCAATCTCTCGAAGTCACGACGTCGTTGCCGCCGCCTTTGTCGCGCAACAGCTGCATCTTGATAGCAAGGAAGTCGAAGCGTTGGTCACAGGTACCGAGGCGAATGCACACCGAAGTCTCCTCTTGACAATCCTCACTTGTCGATGTAGCGCACGGATGGACTATCCAAGGCACGTCGTTTGTCGTGCCGGCCAACGCAGACAACCAGATGCGTCCCAAGAAGTTCAAAGAAGACATTGCCTTCACTGACTTGTTGGACACGATCAATGTGCTGTCCCGCTAACTAGACTAATCCTTCCTTCATCCATCGGCATGTCTTCGCGGCACACACACACACGTCGGCATCCCATGTCGCGTTCGGCTCATCCGCAGTCACATCACGATAATCGGCGCTACGTCACAATGGCGTACTTTCGCTACTGCTACTTTGAGGTCATCGCGTCCGCTGCGCTTACAGTCCATGGCTCGTGGCACTCCTGTCAAGATGAACACACGGGACAACGGACCGATATTTAGACTAGCTCGACTGTCAACACCCCCAGCGCCGCTTACAGCATCTTGGCCTTGGCCGGCTTGACTGCCGTCGCGACAGGCTTCTCGAACACTACTCGGGACAAATGGAGCTTCTCGATGCGGAACCCGACCTCGCACCAGTTCAGGTAGTACTTGTACTTGCGGTACACGGTCGGCGGCAGCGTGTGGCGGGCAGCGTCCAGGTTGTCGGCCCACAGCTTGAGTGTGTCGGCGTAGTCATGGGATCGAGTCTCGGTGAACACTCGCTTAAACTTGTGTTCGATGAAGGCTTCATGAAGAAAGTCCAAGTTGGGGACCTGCTGGCCGGGAAAGATGTGCGTTGTGACGAACGTCCCGAGTGGAGTCGGCGACCGACTGCGGGCCACAGGGTTGTTGAACGCGTACGCATGGATGACTTGCATGACGACGCGGCCACCGGGTTTGAGCGCACGGTCGCATGCGGCGGCAAAGTCCGAGTAATGAGCGGCCGGGACAGCTTCAATCATCTCGACAGCCGTGACTGCAGCGTGATCGTGGGTGGCAGGGATGTCTCGATAGTCCTGCAAGGCAAAGTTCGAGTCGCCGTACCGAGCACGGGCAGCACCGACCATACTGCGGCAATTGCACAGCCCCGTGGCGTCGATGCCAGCCTTGCGAGCCGCATGCACGAGGTAGCCCCACCCAGATCCAATATCCACGAGTTTCTCGCCGGGTTTGGCGAGGGTAAGATCCAAAATGCGTTGGACTTTGTGGCGCTGGGCTTCGGCGAGCGGCGTATTTGGGGGCAAACCATCCCACGAAGCACTGGTGTACACCATATCGTCTCCAAGGAACGCGCGAAAGAGAGCGTTGCCGTCGTCATAGTGCTCTGCGATCGAGTTGGCGCTCTGCGTGCGGTCGAGCGCGCCAAAGCGCAGGAGAAAGGCCGCGCGGCGAAAGTAGAACGACGGCGAAAGGTACGGGAGGGCGAGGACGAGCCAGTTCTCTTGAAGGTTCGCTCCAGCCAGCGTCGACAGCACTTGGACCAGGGACGTGTTGGGACCTACGGCCCACTCGTTGCGCACAAATGCTTCACCGAGGCCGAGCTCGCCGTTCGAAAGGAGGGCTTCGAAAAACGCAAACGGCTTGTTCACAACGAGAACGGCCACGGGCGCGGCGGGGTCGGCGGCGGCGGGAATCGGATCGTTCTCGTCTTGGGTGAGGTAGAGCTGTCCGTTGGTGGCCGCCGACAGCGCCAGCTGCATGCCACGCGTGACGAAACGATCTCGACACGCCAGAAAGTTGGACGAGCGCGACAAGTACGCATAAGCTGTGGAGATGAAGACCTGGAGGCCAATCAAGCCGGTCAAGAACGGCCACGAGAACAACGTGGGCTCCCATGGATGCAGCACACCAATGAAACAGACCACGATCGCGTGAAGGTAAAACTCCCAGTTGGACGACGGCGCCAAGAGGCCGTAGAGCAAATGCGTGGCGAGGAGACCGTGCAAGGACTCGACGAGGGGCGACGCTCGAGGGTCCACGAGCGCTTCGGACGCCAGGCGCATGGCCGAGATTGCTTGAATCCCGGTGACTGCCCAGCCGACGCCATTCGACGTCGACTCGCGGCTCGTCCAGAAGAATAACACGCTCATGTAGGCTGCGCACAGATGAGCCCAGTGTGGGAGAACGGATTCGCCGACAACGGCAATGGCTGCATTCGCATAACTCAAAACCCGCAAACACGTGAAGTGGTCCGGGGTCGTGAAATGCGACGCTGCGAGCGCTGCAATCGCGGCGACGCCGCCGTGCGTGCCAAACGACGACGTCGAGTGGAGAGCAGCATGGGTGAATGCAATCGCACCGACAACGACCGCAAGGATCGAGTACGGAAGCATCGCACCGTGGTATCGATGATGGAGGGCGACCAGCGGCGTCAACAGCGCAAAGAGCACCGAAGACAGGAGCAGCCCTTGACTGTATTGAACCGCCACGACTGCACCAAACGCGACGGTCGGGAACAGAATCAACGGCGACGTCCACGCCGTCTTGGGCTGGGCTTCGTACGATTGCATGGCGAGGCCACCGACCAAGAGCGCGACAGCTTGATAGTAGATCTGGATCACAGTACGCCACGATCCCGTGTGCACGTCATGGGACTTGGTGTAGTCGACTTTCCACGACGCAGTCATGATGACGGCCTTGGAAACTTGTTCGCGCAACGTAACAGTGATGCTGGACTTGCCGACGAGCTTGAATTCGTACTCGGCGGCAGGCTGGTCGATCGCGGACGGCGGTGTGTTGAAAGGCGACACGTGCATCGCCTTGGGCTGGACCGCCGGCTCGAGGACGTCATTGGGGCGGACGCGCATGGCGTACAGGCATCGTTCGTTCCACGGGGTGTTGTGGACCTCGAGGAGGAGCGCTTGGAGTGTCCCAATTTCGTCGTGGCAAAAGTAGGGTGTGATCGGGTTGAACCCGAGCCCAAGGTAGCGGAGGTTGGCCACGGCTTCGATCTTTCCGAGAGGCCAGTAGTTGAGGCGCGTCGCGAGCTCCCGGCGCACGCATGTGTCGAGTGGCACAGACGGGTCGCCAAAGTGGTCGGTGCGACAAAAGTTTTTGGGCGGACTGCGCGTGTCGAACCGATGCAAGTGCATGTCGTAGTGAATGGCATACGCGTGCTTGGCCGGCAAGAAGCGCGCGTGGTAGCTGGAGCCGACGACAGGGGCGGCTGGCAGCCCCGCCAATGTCGGAAACTCGATGGGAATGTCCTCGCGGCCGATCGCACGGCGGGCCGCCATGAGACCAGATACAGCGCCGTCTTCGTGAAAGCCATTGCGCAGCCACGCGCCAGCAAAGTAGACGCCTTCGTGGCCCTGGAATTTGGATTCGTCCAGCTGCCCTTGGTACGCGGACGCGTTCATGACGGGATGGGCGAGGTCTGTTTCGAAGAACGTGCCGTCGGGCGTCGTCGCCGGGTTCAATGACAAGTACACAGACTTATTCTCGAGCGACTGGAGGCGAGAGATCCAGTATGTGACCTGGGGGCCGGCGGCGGGAGTGCTAGACACGTTCCAAGACGACCTGTCGTTATGGACGGGAGGCATGCCCGCGCCGCTCGTGTGACACGCAATGCGCGACGAGAGCGTACTGAATTGGGATAGCCACGCGCGGGTGGAGATCGGCGGCTCGAGGGCGGCGGCTTGTGGCGCGCTGCACGTTAGAATCAGCGCGTCGTACGGGAGCTCTTCCCCAGACTTGAGCACGAGGCGCTTGTTGGCGACGTCGATCCTGGCGGCGGGCGAAGACGTCCGGACGACGAGCTGCGGGCACATGTCTAGCACTTTTTGGACGTAAGATTCTGAACGACCGGCGGGCGTCGTCCACTTGACCGTCTCCAGCGTGAGGAACATGTGGTGGTGCATGAACTTGAGCAAGGGCTGGATCGGGAAGTCCATGGCGCCGTCGGCAGACGTGCTCCAGACCGCAGATATGAACGGAACAAGCCATTTGTCCACGAAGCGCGGGTTGAGTCCCGCGGCGAATTCGCGCGTGCTCGTCGTGCGGGGCGTTTCGTCAGCAAGGAAGGCCAGCCCTCGCGTGGCAAATTCTCGGTGGGCGCGGACAAAGTGCCACAGTCTGGGGCGGAAGATGTTGTCCAGCGTCCAGCTCCACGAGCTCTGGAATGACCACGAGTCAGTGTCGTCGAAGACCGAAAACGACATGTCGGACGGCTCGACGGCGGCGCCTACTTCTGCAAACAGTTTGATCAAGTTTGGGTACGTGAGGTCGTTCATGACCATGAACCCAATGTCCATGCGCTCGCCGGACGGGCCGTCAATCGTGTACGCGTGGCCCCCGACACGGTCGGCCGCTTCCACGAGCGTGACGTGGCAGTCGGAGTACTTGGACAGGGTGCGCGCGGCCACCAGCCCGGTGACGCCGGAGCCAACGATGACGACGCGCTTCGGCGAAGCCGCTGTGGGGTTCACCATGAGCGGGACCGTGCGAAGATTTGAAAGTGACCGCTCCGTTGACTGTACGTCCATGGAAGTTGGGTGGCGGCGGATGGGTAGTTTATCCCGGTAAATCCCACCTGTCCAAGTACTGTATCCAACGCGTGCCGCCTTCAATGTGGTGCACGCGTCGGCCTCGCGGCACTGCTGGGCGTCGCGTTCTAGCGCGAACCGCGACGCCGCCACCACGTTGGGCATGGTGTATGTATTGGGTGCATCGCGATGTTGACAAGTGGCACAGATGACGCGTTCAAGTCATTCCAGCGTGGCAAATATGCGTCCATCACGTCAGGATGTGGCAGGTCGTTTTCTTGCCTTGATCGTGTATGTCTTTGTTCGGGGCCGCAACAAAGACACGAAAAGGCTGCTCGTAGGAGCACTGGATGGCGCACAGGTCTGTTGTGGTGGTCAGTACATGAGTGAAAGCCATGCCATTCCAAAAACGTGTGGACAACAACCAGCATGGACGGGGCTGTCTGTCGGTGTCTCTTGGTAGTCATCGCGTTGAGGGATCGTCTCTGATTGGGTGAAATCCCACACGATCCAGCCCTGTGTTGGGACATACCGTGACCCAAGTGGGACAAACTATGGTATCCAAAGAGATTTCCATCGAAGTCGCCGTTCGCGTGCGTGGCACGTCCGGTGCCACCATGAGTTCTGGACGAAAACAAGAGAAGTCCGACGTGATTGAGGTTGCCACAAGACTCCAGTGGTGACTTAACCGAGGCGCAAGGACATGAATGGAATGGTTTTGTATCAAGGGGAGCTCGTCGCGTGGACGACACCTGGCTGCACGGACCGTCGGCACCTACCACGACATGGAAACTTCAAGTTAAATGAAGGGATCTGTGCCATCCTTTGCGTTTTATAGGTTATAGAGCCAGCTAGCAACGATGAACGAGCGACATTCCAAGGAACACGTCAGGTGCACGAACTTGATGAACAAGGCTCCTGAAATGTGCCGTGGCCGCCCTGGGCGGGAAACACCGCGCTGGCTGTACGCTCCTGCTTTCACACGCCTTCCAGAGTACTTCAGAGCACATGACAGCGCTTGAATGGTACGAAGAGGACGGACAAAGTCGATTGTCTACACGGGGTTGGTACACGAAATCTCCAGAGTCGATCCCACACCTCCCACGGAAAAAAAGCAAATCCTCCACCTCGAACAAACAAGTTGTGTGTGTTTGGTTGCTCTGGCGACTCGATCGTTTTGTTTGCATCGACTATTGAAAGCCCACCGGGGTCGACCAATATCTTGAACCGCCGGCGTTTTGGCACCGCGAAGAGCCGACCCATGAGTCGACCACATGTGCCTACGTGTGCGCAAGATGATAGCCCCGTCGCATCATGCGCTGCAGTGCTGTGCCATATCGACCGACCAAAGCCGTCACTGCCGCCAAGGCGGACTCTCCCGACTTGTCTTTCGCATGGGTATTCATTTGTACAGGTAATCAACCTCGATCGCCTCTGGAAATGTATAAATCGTTTGACTTGAATTGACTATGCCGCCCAAGTAAACACGCGTTGCGCGCGAGAGCATTCTCGGAAATTCCCTCTTCCTCCGCGCACCATGACCGACTACTCGAAATGGGACAAGATCGAAGACTCGGACGATGAAGCTGAGGTCAAACGCGGACCTGCCGCCGCTGCGTCCGTGCCCTCGGCGCCCTCTGCCCTGCAGCAGATGGAAGCATTGCGCAGCAAGGCTCAAATCCACATGGAGAAGGGCGAGTTTGCCCAAGGGTGTGCTATCTACAAGGATCTCCTCCAGGGCGCTGGGCCTGACACGCCCGCCGGATTCATTGAATCGTGTCGCATGAACTTATCGATTGCACTGATCAAACTCGACCGCAACCTCGAAGTCATTCCCGTGCTGTCGGAAGTCCTGAAAGCAAATCCGAAACTCGTCAAGGCATTGCATTTCCGAGGTCACGCGTTCATGAGCGCGGGGCTCCTCGGAGAAGCCGAAAAAGATCTGAAAGCGGCCAAGGATGCACTGCCTGACGACGAAGGTGTCATCGGCGACTTGGCGGCGTTGGAAGTTGCCAAGGTCGCGGACATCCACCTCAAGGATCTCGTGGCGAAGGCGAACGAAACATTTCAAGCTGGGGATTTCCCGTCCACGATTTCCAACTTCACAACGGCGTTGGCCGAAGCTGAGAAAGTGAAGCGCCGTGACGTGTGCGGCGCCATCTACGGTAGCCTCGGAATGGTCTACTACAAGAGCGAAAAATTCCGCGAGGCTATTCCGCACTTCGTCAAGGCGTTGCAAGAGCTCCCGAACCCCGAGCGCCGCATTGAGTTTCTCGAAGGTTTGGCTGCTTGCCACACGTCTCTGGGCGAAGGTGAAATGTGTATCAAGGCGTTAGAAAGCGCTGTCATGATTGGCGTTCAAGCTGGCGCGCCACCCCCCCGCATGATCAAGCTTCTCATGCACGCCGTGCGATCGTGCGGAATGCTTAAATTGACTGAACCCGGTATCAAGTACGCGACCAAGGCTCGAGAAATCGCGGCAGCTGCTCTGCAATGGGAAGTCGTGTTTCAGTGCAATGAGTGGATTGCCCGCCTTCATACGGAGAACGGAGACCCTGAATCCGCGCTGATTCACATCACAGAGGTACGAAAGCCCGTCATTGTTCATGGAGTGCTATACATGTTCTCTTCAGGCATTCCAAGAAGGTGTCGCGCGCACGGACGTGCAGAGCTGCCTCCAATTGATGCACATTCAAATGCACGTGCTCAAGGTGACCGACCCAATGAAGCACATCAACTTGGTCCAGTCCACGCAGGCGTTCTTTGCGTCACAGAACGATTACAAGGGACTCTTGGGCTGCATCGAAGTGCTACTCGTGTACAACATCAACAAGTACAAGGAGAACAACCAGCGCGACCCACAATATTTGGCTGCCCTCGAAGAGCTCTGGACCGAGCTTCGCAACGTCCCGTTCGAGCCCCTCGAGCACGAAGACAAGTTTTTGTTCTTGAAGCTCATCCAGCTGCACGCCGACTTTAACATTGAGCAAGAAGGGAAGGACGCGTGCCGAAAGGTGCTGCATGAAGTGTTATCGTTGGCCAACACGATGACGCCGATCCCGCCGCAACACGTGATTGCCGATGTGTACAAGAAGCTAACGGCGTTGAGCGACGGTCCGGCCGAGCAGCTCGAACACATCACGGCAGTGGAAAAGTCACTGCGCCAATTTCAACTTGACGTCGACGCCCGCATTCAAAACGACCAGAAGGGCGAGATTCTGTCGAAAATTGCCGGCGACATTGCGGACACGTTGTGCAACAAAGCGTTTGTTCAAGCCGAGCAGGTACGAAAATGTCAAATGAGCTGCGTGACATCTCATGGGATGATGCGTTGTAGGGCATGATTGACGACGCGGAGAAGACTCTGGAAGACTGTTCGTCGCTGTGCGAGAAGAACTCTATTGAAAACAGCCGCATCAACTGTCTGTCGCAAATTGCCCGAGGCATCTTGTGCCTCAAGAAGGGAAACAAGGACGGTGCCGAAGAGAACTTCGACAAGGGCATTGCTCTAGCGGAAGCTGTGAACGACCAGGAAGTGCTTAACCATGTGCAGGAGCTGGTCAACGACGCCAAGGAAAAGGCCGGTTTGCCCGTGTCCAAGAAGACACCGGCATCTGCCCCCGCATCAACGAAGGAAGCGACGATCTCTGCGAAGGAGCCTCCTGCCAAGAAGGCCGAGACCCCCAAGGCTCCCAAGACGTACCCTGGGACCGCGATCCGCAAAAAGGAAGCGGCTTTCGACATCACGGACCACATTCCCCTCCTTGTGTTTGTCGCGTTCTTGGCTGTGTTTTTCCACCTCGTGAGCACGTAAATCCAAGAACAGCTTTGTAAAATGAACGAGAGAACTGTATGTGCGTGAAAAGTCATTGAGCACGATGCTACGAGCTCGCTACAACTCGACGTCCTTCGCCTCCGACACTGCGTCGTCTGTCGCGGCAGCCTTGATGTGTTCTTCATCACTCTCGTCACCGTCCTCTTGGTCATCCGTGCTGTCGTCGCCCGAAGAGTCGCTGCTCTCGTCGCCGCTTTCGCCATCGCTTTCCTGCTGGTCTACATGTGGACACTTCACATGAACCCACGTATCACGTGGGTCACATGACCATACCAACGACAAGCTTAAGCTGTAGCGCCTTGAATAGATTGTGCACGAGTTGGTTGGAGGGCTCGTACCCCAGGACTTGAGAGGGAGCCACTCGTCAGACCTCTTGTCGCGCGGGACGAATGGAGACTTACTCTTTTGAGCCAACTCCATGGCCAATTCGGTTTCTTCGTCTTCGAGAAACCCAAGAAACTAGCGCAGCGTGTGAGATTGGAAGCGCACTGCCACGAGTTTGGTGTTCACCTGAGTGATGAGCGCGATCGGAGCTTTTCCTTCCGCCCACGCGCCATCCATTTCGTCCGTCAACTCTGCATCTCGCAAGTCTAGTCTCGACGTGGTCAAGAACTTGGAGCAATCTTTCTTTCTCGCAGCTGGTCGTACCGCTCGGATCTTTTTCAGCCTTCATGGAGCTGAGCAGCGTCTCCTTGATCAACTCGACCCGCTGCATATTTGAAATCTACCGAAAGGTCACGGGGAAGATACACCACCCTACTAAGTACGGTTTCATTTAATATTAATATATTTGTACGAATAACTACTACTACTAATGTAGTATTCATTGAAAATGTTGTGATCTTGTCGCAACTCCTTCTGTCACTGCCATATAAAACCAACATTTCGATGAAAGTGATGGTAAAGCAGCGAGAACGGGGCAACCCAACTGCACGATGGGACGAGCGACGGCGCTGTGGTGTTCCACTGGCGTGACAGAGGAGCAGGTTGGCAATGCCGCTGTCCTGTGTGCCGCCATCGCAAGCGACGATATCCTCACGTTCTTGGAGTCGGATCCGTCCACAGCTACTCTCTCCGATGACCTCGCGCTTCCGTCCCTTCTTCGATTCGACGATTTTGTCTTGATCGAGTCGGAACTCAGCGTGTTCTGCTGCATCAAACCCACCCCCTTTCCCCAGCAACTCCTCGACATCACAGAGCGTCAAGCAACATTCTGGTATGGCGGTCGCGTCCATACAGCATTCCATAAACAAGCGAAGCGCATTTTGCAACTTCTCCGACGTCCCCACGACCCCCTTACGCGGCAATCGTTGCTCGACATTGTTCACGGCAAAGGCAAGACTCTCGTGTTGTGTGGTCATGCCGCGACTGGAAGCACGGCGCATATGTGCTTTCTTGGTCTTGTCTATGCTTCATTGCCGCGCGCGTTGCAGTTGACGCTTGAGGCAATCGACGACGCTCGCATGCGTGAATCCAATGCATCAACGTCCCGTGCTTGTCCGCCAAGCCTCCTTGCACAGCGCGATCTCCTATTGACTGAGATTCCAACCCAAGACATCGGTGTGCGGTCCATCGCGTTCGGCTCCCCGTGCATCGCCACGTCGGACGTGTCGATTGTTTTGGCATCGACCAAACTCGCGCCACACATGGTCACAATCGTAAACGAGTTTGACTGCGTGCCCAACATCTTTGACATTGCGCAGACTGCGTCGCTGGTCTCAACGACGACAAGCCGGTTCGTCGAAGTCTCGCGCGCGCTAGGTTTTGTCCTCAAACTCCTGCCAACGGTATCTCGCGTCGTCAGCACCGCGCCCGTCACGGCGGCATCGTCTCCGATGGCTCAATTCGCCCTGTCGTACTATGCCGACCAGACGTGGCACTTGGTGCACAAAACATTCCGAACCTTCCAAACACGGATCATCCACAATGCAAAATGGACCGCTTGCATGCAGGACTTGCGCCCCGTCGGGACATATGCGTTCCTGACGAAGGACAGCTTGTCCGTCACCCACGTGGACGACTCGACGGTCGTCGCGGTAAAATTGCGCAAAGCCATGCAGGCCGTGTCGACGTTTGCGTTGCGGCAGCACGTTATGCCATCGTACGTGATGCAGGTGTCAAAACGGGTTGCTCAAGGCTGCACCGTCGAGATGAACCATTACGAGCGACTGCACATCGCACCGGATGCAACGGTCAAGGAGGTCCGCGCTGCGTACAAGTCCCACGCGCTGAAGTGGCACCCCGACCGATGGACCACACCCGCGGACCGCGACAAAGCGACGATCCACTTTAAACTGCTTGCCGAAGCTCATGAGGTGCTGACGGACCCGGACGCTCGCGCCGCATACGACAAACAGCTGCAACAACAAGCCGATAACCACGCGAAAGGCACGTGGGGCGACGAGTTCCTCCAGCGAGGAACTGTCCATGGCACGAGCCTGGATGACGCCCTTCGGGTGTTCCGGCTAGCCCAAGACAAGTGGAATACCATGACGTGGGGCTTCTCCAACTCGAACGGCGTCCTAGTGGTGCCGAAGTCGAACCCCCGGTTCAACCCGAACAACCACGACAACCTGTTTGCAGTTGACAAGATGCGCGTCGTTCGGGCAGATAAGAGCGTAACATACGTCGCGTCGGACGACATGCTCGCGACGGACCAAGCCGCGACCACCCATCCATCGAGCGGTAGCTTTGCCATGGCGGCATCGGCTGTCGGGGGGGCAGTCGTTGTAAGCGCTGGCATGGCCGTAGCTGTCCACGCATGGACCAAGTACAACGACAACACACGCCGCCGCCGCCAAGCCGAAGCCGTCCGACGCATGCCGTTTCCGTTGCTCCAGCAATTGTTGATGGACAAAGGGAGCCACGGGACTGCTTTGGCCCGTGGCGGTGGCGGGGACGTGCGATTGTCCCATCAGCGTCAACTTGTACAACCCAACGACGCGGTCGTGGCAGCGCATGCCCCACCAAGTCAACATACGACGCTAATGGACGAGTTCTATGACTGCCTGGACGACGTGGGGTGGGCCACAACGCAAGAACAAGCCGAAGATGAATTCTTCGAGTGCCTGGCGACGTTGGAAGGGGTTGACCTGTCTGTTAAGGCCGCTTTGTACCCGAATGGGGCATTCGTCTCCACTCCGTTTGGTGTCGGCACAGTCATCGACCGCAGAGAGGTTCCAGTGGCTCATTACGTGGTGGAACTGCCCATGGGGTGCCTATCCTACGTGGATGCAGACCAAGTTGACCGGGGTGCCGCGGCCATGTTGTCGTACAAAGAACACCAGTTGGACATGCTGCGGAGTCGACTGGCAGACCAAGTGGTTGTTGCGTACGGACTTCAAACGTCGTCGAACGATGGCGCGACGCTGGGGTCCATGGTCTCGGCCGGGCAATGCGCTGCAGTGGACAGTGGGGTGAAAGCAGCCAGCGGCGTGGCTCTGGCTACCGGTCTCAGACGGGTGATACCTGGTTTACGCGGGGTGGCGGCTCCTCTAACAGTCGCAGCCATCTTGGTCGACATTGGAAAAGACTACCTGGAATTTCGCCAGAAAAAGCCCCGGACGTCCGCGAGTGAACGGCTCTCGATGCAAGCGTTTTGGCTGAAAGCAGGACATCATGTCGCGAGCGGCACAGTTGCAGCGGCCGGCGCGACGTTGGGCTTGTACGGAGTAGCGACGACGGTGGGGTACTGGACGGGGGCGGCGGCAATGGGCCCCGTCGGACTCGTCGCTGCCACAGGAGGTGCGGTTGTGGGCAGCGTCCTCGGATACGCCGCCGGGGCGAGCTTGTATGCGAGTTCAACGAAAGAGCACTTTTCGTCCCTGCAGCAGGCCACCGCTGAGATTGACCGATTGGAAGTCGGTGCAAAAGTGCTTTTCACCCAGTACGACCCCGACGCGACCGGCCAGATCTCCAAGGCAGACTGCAAGCTCTTGATCCGCCAAGTGTTTGCCAACGAGGGCGACCCCGGGTACGTTCAAGCGGTGACGACATTCGACTCGACCGACGAAGACTCGGTCGTGCCGTGGGCTGTGTTTTGGGAATGGGTTAGTACGGAAGCGATCGAGAAGCTCGACGCAATGGAAAAAGCGCGTCATGTAGACAACGTCGAGCCAGCCCATCGCGCGAGTTGGTGGCTGCACTACCAGCGATATTTCAATTTTGCCAACGTCCCACCGACCCTCGCCCGTCCGTGTGATGCGTCGTGCTCGATCTACCCCAGTGTGTTGACCGTGTTGGCATTCAAACCACGTCAACCCATCGAGACAGAACAAGCGGACGACAACCCGCGAGCATGCCTGATTGAACTGGCGCAGGTCGACGCGCTTGTCGAGTCCGACCGGCTGTCGTGCGACGAAGCATATTGCCTCAAGCTGTACATGCAGTCGACAGACGACGCCACACGAAATCACGCTCGTAGTACCATTCGAACACTCCAACGCGAATGGGCACACGAAAATCATGGGATGATTTCGACAGCGTTTGAGGCTGGCTCGGACGAGACGCACGCAGACGAAGTCGAGCAACTCGATGTGCTTTGCTCGCTTTTGTCTCATCGAGCTCTCGGGAGACTGCTCGTGGACAACCACGTCCGTGTGCCGCCGAATCCGTCGCACAGCCAGCTCCACGGACTCGCCCTGACCCACCTCACTCCCCGTGTCACATCTCCATAACGCCTCGCGACATGGAGAGTTTCATTCGCATATGCAATTAACGAGTCACGAATGGTCTCTAGTCGTCTTCGTCGACGTCATCATAGTCAGCATCCGGCTCATACTTGAGCAGACGCTTTCGCAGCGCCTTGAGCGCATCGTTCTTCTGCCCGACCATTTTCTTGAGCTGCTGGAACTGCTTGGTTTGCGTGATGTGCTGGTTGGCCTCCTTCGCGCTGCGCTCGTAGTCGGCGATGATGTCGCGGGATTCCTTGAGCTCCTTCTCCAACGCCTCTACATGGCGCGATGCATGCGCTGCTTGCCGTAACTCGTCCATGTCGTCCTGAGCCCGTTGCTTGTCCTTGATGGCCTTGTTCACGTCTTTCTGAAGCTGTTCTAGACGATGGCGCAGGCTCTGGTTCTCCTTCTCGAGCGCTGCGAATTCTTCGTCGTCGTGATCGCGCGAGGGCTTTACCGACTTCTTCCCTTCCAATCTCCGTTCGTCGTTGGCCCACTCCGCCACCGACAGTCGCTCCACCTTTTCCAGCATGTCTGGTCGAAAATTAGCCATGGAGTTGTGTCTTGCTTCACCAACCTTTGTCTTCGATGATGCCCGTATCCAATTCAATATTCATTCGCTATGTCGCTGAGGTGAGATTCGGTACAGGGGCGATGCCACCAAGCTTACGTGGTCTTGAGCTTCATGGAAGACTTGGCGGAGGAGAAGGGCTGTCATGTTGATAGTGTCCTGGAGCTCGCTTCTCGCGTTCGCCTAGAGCACGAGGGGGTGAATCGGTAGCACATATGTGCCTTTCTACCTTGACGGCAAAACTCAACGACTTGAGAACATCCGTCACGTCCTTTTGACTGTACATGTCATCGGAGGAAAGTCTACACGCACTTAAGCAACTTCTTTCTCCCATGGGAAGAAGGCATGCCTGTCGGACAATGTGTCGTCGAACTCGGCCTCGATGTTCTCAAGGTGTGTCGCAAGTCGCGAGCGAAAGAACTTGAGGAACTTGGAGACCTAGACCTCATGAAGGTAAGCAGACACGCCAGGCAATGGATCAACCTCTTGCAGGTGGTGTGGGTTCAAACCCTTGCTCATGGATGCTGCGAGGATGAGAGCGTCGAAGCGGTGGCAGTTGCCTCCGATGTGTGACCTCTCAAGATATCTCGAACTTGCGGATTATCCGGACCTCTTTATCCGGTGGACGACTTGAAAAAGTTTGAAACGGTTCGTTTCGCACGTAAATTCAAACGGGTCAAGATGCGCCAGGAGGAGCGGCGGCGGTCGAGCATGGCGACAGACAGTCGGCGAAACAGCATCGTATCCACCACGAACCAGTCGGTGGCAGGTGACTCCTCGAGTCTGGAAACCAGTCGCCGCACGACGACGACGGATGCACCCGACGAAAATCCGTCACAACGTCTGGACGATTACATGTATATCCGGGATCTTGCGCGGAGTGTCTCGTGTTCTCATGTGTTGCCATTAGAACCATGTCCAATCACCTCATGCGCTGCGTCAAGCAGGGCAAACATTTGCGAGACCATATCGATCACCAGGAGGGCCACGCTGCGTCGCACCACAAGTTCGTCGACCCATCCATCTTACTGTTCTTCAATCGTTCGACAGATCGTCCGCATCGCTCGCAGCAGCGTGTGTGCAGCACATTTATCACCCGCCGCGGCGTGTCAAACGTATAGTCCATCACGTCACTCGATGCCACTTCAGCGCTCTTGCATCTCTCATAGGACGAGGCGTGACATTCCAAACGTGCATTAGCTTTCACACAGCCACAGGGGCTCCTATAAAAGCGTCCAAGGGTTCTTTGCGAGTGGGTGAAGGCCCTGCTTCGCGTTTTCGAGTCGTACCGGGGCCGTGGGCACATGCTTCAACCGTGATTGTCACTCGCCACGATCCGGTGGCTCTGCAGCTCGTGTCCTCCGACCCCGAGGACACTGATGCATTCCTCGTGTCAGCTCCAGCGCCGCTCCATGGACTTGACATCAAGTTAGTGTCACTTGCATCTTCTGCATGGGACGAGGGGAAGAATGGAGAGTTTGCCCCGATAGCACATCTCTTCGCAGCGTATGCGTGGGCACTTCAGCCAATTCGTGCTGACGACCAGGTGCTCTTGGACGGTATGCGTGTCCAACTCGTGCAGCAGCACGACCAGGACACATTTGACCTCGCGGCATCAGTGGGGCCACTTGACTTGACATTGCGTCGCCGTTGTCCTCTGAAATCCAAGCGCACCAAAACGTCCATAGGACGGCTGATTCTCGTTCTCAAAGTACACGGGCCGATGCGAAAAGATGGACCGAAGCTATGTCAAGTACAAACCGAGAGACGCAAAAAACCTTGGCTTGTGGAAGCGATCGCGACCTTGAAAGAACAAGTGACCAAGGACGACCATGCGAAGCAAGCGTTCGAGCGCGAGATGCAAGAAAACATGGCAGCATATGCGGCAACACATTCGCTCGAGTCACCGCGTGAGGAGGTCCCGTCCGAAGACTACTACGGCCGAAAACTCAAAAACCAGCCGAAGATGCGCCTCCGGTCGAACTCAGTCTTGACGTTCATGCAGTCGCTTCAACGAATAAAGAAGCTCAACTATCGACGGGATGAATTGGCACCGGAACTGACCGACAGCGACCGACTTCGGCTCTTGCAGTGCTACAACCCCAGAGTATACGGTCGCGTCGGCACCCCCGCTATTTTGACCCAAACGTCGAGTTTGATCAAGACGCTAGTTGGTGGCATGGACAAGATCGGGGAAGCCCCACCACCTTTACTTGTTGCATCCAATTCGGCGGCGCAGCTGCGACCAAAATCCAGCAATGCTTCGAGGAATTTGAAGAAACACCATGGCAGCGCCAAGGTGCTTCCAACGACAAGCTCATCCCGCCCTCAAACCGCGCCATCGACTTATGCCCATTCATCGTCAAAGGGTAGAGCAGTTTGACACGAGTGGACAGCATTGGAGACTTGAAACAGCTGCGTTCCCAAAAGCAGTGGGAACGGATACGGCCCATCGAGGGACAAAATGTGGAACGGCGCATAAAGGGTAACGAGGACATTGTCACGAAGTTTTGCAAGGGCTGATTTGGAAAAGACGGCATCGACAATCACGTCGGAACGGATGGGCAGCAGCGGTGGAGAGGGTGGTGGCGATGATTGAATGGCGGGAGAGACTTGGTGGATGTATGCGGTGAACACGGCAAAGTCTGCCACAAGTCGGGTCCGTAGCAAGCAGATTGTAATCGACGGGCGGGATTGAGGCGCGTCTATCATGCTTGACGTGGATGGAGCTTGATGCTACGATAAATTCTCAATAAGATTACCATGATATTCAGAGCAATCGTACGGAGTTGGTATGAAAGAGAGTTGCGTCACGACTAGCTTTGCGTGTGGCACGCTGCACGACAGCACCGATTTCACCAGGAATGGTAACGTCACTCAGGCGCTTTCGTCGCTTTTCCTTCGGGGGCACGTGAAAGGGTAATTGTCGTTGCGATGTTCCAATCTGGATGACAATGTCAAACAACGAATAATTCGAATTGAGACATGCCACGTACCTCCGAAGCAATGTACCCTGCATCTTCAATGTCTTCGTTTCGGGGTTGAGTTGGAGAGGACTACAAAGGATCAAGAACACACACGCCGAGCGCACAAAATTACATTTGGAACGCGTTCTATGCCTCCAGCAGTTGCTTGTCGCAGCAACTCCGCCATGGATTTTCGATACGGAGTCGATGATTGTGGTGGCGGAGTTGATCTAACAGGATGGTTTAGTTACGGTCGTGACGATGAAAGTTTGTACAGCAATAGCAACGCCGGTGGCTGACGCTTCGTTGTCGCAACTTTATTCGTCCTTTTTGGCAGTGATTGCAAGGGAGGTGTTTTGAGCCAATGTGAAGGGCGTTCGAAGGCAGATTCGAAGGATTGCGTTGTTTGCACTTTCCGAGGGGTTGCTTGGACATGAAGTTGGCGAATTCGATGCTGCGAAGGTCCAATTGGCGCCAAGTCGGACACAAGACCGTGACGATTCGAAGAAGCAACATTTTGAGAGCGCGGAATTCTGCGTGACGTATCATGCGTTGTGTGTTGTACCGAGGGAGATTTCGGTTGTGTCGATGTTTCATAATCCCCTGAATGACCTTCAAGGGTTACGATGGATACAGGCGGTTCAAACAATAGGATCGAGGCAAATCCATCTTCTTCATCTTCGTCACTTTCTTGACCTTTTTCTACAGAAACGAATGGATACAATGATTAAGCGACGTATGCATCCATTGCCTACCCATGAGCGTGGCAGCCACAGATTGTCTCGACATGATGGCTGGAGCAACAACCGCCGCAGACGATTCCGATGGGGTGGTGAACTTGCTTTGCTTCGTTGACTTCGCGATGGCCTTTTGCAGGGACTTGGTCAGCTTCGAGCTGCTGTCTGCATGAATGTCGTACGTAACTTCGTCCTCGTCCGACATGATGGTGCCGCGCCAAATTTCCAATTGAAAGTCAGCGGAAAAGTTCGAATTCTTGGCGCGCCGGATAAATTCATCGTTATCCGGTGCGCGTTTCGATCGATTTTCACCACACCACATTGACCAACAGCGCCACGTCCACCATGAAGACGCGCATGGCGATTGACGACATCAGCGCCATGGTCGGCTCCATCCAAAAGAACGTCGTCAACATGCGTGTAACCAACATCTACGACGCTGAGGTGAACAAGACGTATATTCTCAAGTTAGCGTCCCCAGGTCTGCCCAAGGTGTTCCTTCTGCTGCAGTCCGGCATTCGCTTCCACACGACAGCGTACGCTCGTGAAACTGCAAGCGCGCTACCACTGCAATTCACGATGAAACTGCGCAAGCATCTTCGAGGCAAGCGCCTCGCAAGCGTTGTACAATGCGCATCGGACCGCGTGATAGACTTTTGTTTTGGCGACGGCGACCAACGCCACCATTTGATCCTGGAACTGTACGCGGCAGGCAACATCATCTTGACGGACCACGCGTACACAATTCTATCCCTACTTCGCACACACGCGTACGATGACCAAGTGAAAGTCGCCGTGAAGCAACAGTATCCCATCGACAACGCCATGGTGGTCGGAAACGTTGCCGGAGGCGAAAATCTCTTTTCCAACGGTGGCGACTTGATTTTGTTCATTCAGCAATATATGCAAGACCTCGCGTCTAAGGAGAAGAGCAAGAAGCAATACTCCCTGAAGCAGATCCTCATGAGCAAGGAGAGCGGGTACGGTAACTTTGGACCGACCATCGTTGAGCACTGCATGGTGGAAGCGGGGATCGCGCCATCCCTCAAGATCAAAACCGTCACTTCACATGTCCATGTTCCTCTCACTGAAGCGGACGCACAAGGCCTCGTGGACAGCCTCAAGTCGGCGCCGTCACTGCTCGAGGAGCTCAGCACGAACCAGGTTATTATTCACGGCGATCAAAGCGACGACACCGACACATCTCGCCACGGCTTCATCGTCCTAAATGAAAACGGTCACTTTGACGAGTTCACGCCATACTTGTACGCGCAGCACCGAGGAAAGCCCGTGCAGGAGTTTCATACATTCGACCAGGCCGTGGACGAGTACTTTTCCAAAATCGAAGCCCAAGCCGCCGAAGCGGAGAAGAAGCAGGCGGCGCAGGTCGCTGAGACCAAGCTGGACAAGCTCAAGAAGCACCAGCAGGAGCAGATGGAAGCGTTCCGAAAGACCCAGGAAGTGGCTGTCGCCCAAGCCATGCTGGTCGAGCAAAACCAACAAGATATTGAGAACGTGCTCCTCGTCATCCGCAGCGCGCTGGCCAGTGGCATGGATTGGAGCGACCTGGAGGACCTGATCAAGCAAGAGCAGCATAATGGAAACCCTGTTGCAACGCTGATTCACAAACTTGACCTGGCCCAGAATCGAGTGTCCGTGCTCTTGTGCGACCAAGAAGCCGAGGATGAAGCGGTCGCGCACCTCGTTTCCATCGATCTGTCGTTGTCGGCGCTCGCGAACGCGCGGGAGTTGTACTCGAAGAAGAAGACGGCAGTGAAGAAAGCGCAGAAAGCCATCGAAGCCACAGACAAGGCCATCGAGCAAGCTGCCAAGAAGCACGACAAAAAACAAGCGCAGCAGCAACTCCAGCGAAAGACCATGTACCAGCGGCGCAAGACGATGTGGTTTGAAAAGTTTCACTGGTTCATTACCCGGGAAAAGTACCTCGTCCTGGCCGGCAAGGATGCGCAGCAGAACGAAACTCTCGTCAAGCGGTACCTTCGCAAGGGCGACATATTCGTCCATGCTGACTTGCACGGAGCAGCGACGTGCATCGTGCGGAACCGCATCTCCGACGGAAGTGAATCGATCCCCGTGTCTGCGCTGGAACAGGCGGGTTGCATGAGCGTGTGCCGCAGCAAGGCGTGGGCTAACCAAGTCGTGGCCGGCGCGTACTGGGTTCACGCCGACCAAGTGTCCAAGTCTGCCCCCACTGGCGAGTTCTTGACGACAGGTAGTTTTATGATTCGCGGCAAGAAGAACTACATCCCCGCAGCGCGGTTGGAGATGGGACTCGCGATTGTGTTCCGCATCGACGAGAGCTCGGTGCGCAACCACATTGGCGATCAAGGTATTGCACTACCTGCGGCACGACGATGGCCGATCCTGCGCTTGTGTTAGGGGGAAATGACGATGACGACGAGCGAGACGGGGACTCGGGGCATGCAGCATCCCGTAGGCAGGCGGAGGAACCGGACGACGTTGAAGACTTCCATGCCGAAGCTTCGCAAATTCCTGATCAAGTTGCTGATGTGGACGCAGCGTTCGTCGATGAAATGGAAGCAGCCAAAGAGATCCCTGCAGAGGTCGACGAAGGCGAGTCGGACAAAGCCATGGACGTGCACGACGTTGTGTTGGAAGAGGAGGGAGATGAGTCCAAGGATGTATCGGAGGAATTCGTTGACAAACCAGTTGGCAAAAAGGTCCTCAGTGCCAAGGAACGCCGCGACTTGAAGAAGAAGAAGAAGATGGCGAATGCATCGGACGACGTAGTCAGCTCTGAACCCTTCGACGTGCCAACGAAGGCAAAGGGACCAGCGGCGCCTGCACCGGTGCGAGGCAAGCAAGGCAAGCTCAAGAAGATGAAGAAAAAGTACGCAGACCAAGACGAAGACGAACGCCTGCTGCGCATGGCTGCCCTGGGGAACGTGAAGCCTTTGCAAGCTGCCATCACAAAGACAACGGTACGAACATCTCGTGATGCGAAGATGTAGTGACGCACGTGACAGAGCGAGGCTGTTGCAGCTGAAGAAAATGCTGCCGACGACATCGAGACCAATGCAAACGATGCCGCGTCCTCGGGTAAGAACGATGCATTCCAGTATGGAGGACTTCATCGTGTGCAAATAGTTGGGGGGGTCGTTGACGAAGAGAAGGAACTGTTTTACAAGCTCCAGCGAGAACGCAAGGCGCAACTGCTTGAACAGGAGGAAGAAGAAGCGCAGAATGCAACGTTTTTGGAATCGTTCACGGGGAATCCGCTGCCGAATGACATTTTGCTGTTTGCAATGCCCATGTGTGCGCCGTACTCGACGCTTGAGCTGTACACGTACAAAGTGAAGCTTACACCTGGCACACAAAAGAAAGGCAAGGCCGTGCAGTTTGCAGTCGACCACTTCTTAAAACTCAAGCCGAAACCTGCGGCGTTGCTCGCGTCGACCGTCACCAACGCCACCTCCACCACCAACGAAGGCGAAGTTGCCCACAACTCCCCCGACGGGGACCCCGTCGAGGCCCAAAAGGAACTGATCAAGTGCGTGCCGGAGAGCGACTTGATCGGGTGCATTGTCGGGCCGGTCAAAGTGTCTGCGCCAGGGCTCAACTCGGCAGCGATGAAAAAGTCCGCCAGCCAAAAGCCCAAGAAGGCGCACAAGAATACATCGACCAAGTGATGGATCATCTGCAGATATATATATAAAGACGACAACGTGTTTGGGAAATGAAATGCATTCAGTCCAAGCTCGGTGGAGTTTTTCCATTCCAGTCAATTTGAATGCCAGGCCACTTGGTTTTCATGACGTCCTCAATGGGGCAGCCATGGCCGCCGCTCGTTTGCGATGTGTCCATCATGGGCACCGAGTACCCCACGCGGTTCTTGGTCGGAATTCTCGCCTGGAACTGGACGAGGCGGGGAAATGCCCCGGCCGCAGCTTTCTTGGCATCCACGAGCCCGTTGTAGTGGAAGAATTCGACCAGTTTCACGTGCTCTTGCTCGTCGTCAAGGGTCATGCGGACTCCGTCGGAAGAAGCAGGTGGCGGTAATGGTGCCGTCGTCAACGACGATTCGGCATCAAATTGCGCTTGCAGGTCGCGGGCAACGTCAGAATCGGACCGCTTCCGCGTCTTGAGCTTACCGTCTAGTGCTTGCTGGAGGTCGCCCGACTCGAGGAGAATCGACACAACACGCCAAAAGTCTTCCCAGAGGACAACGCCGGCGCCAGGGACTTCAATCTTCGCAAACAACCGGCCCATTTGAAACTGGTTGGACAAAATCGACGAGTCCACATCGAGCTCGGCGAGGCATGCCGGCAGAGAATCGATCTGGATGAACCCGCTCTCCATTGTATCGAAAGACTTGAACGCGCGCTGGACCTTGGCGAGCAGGGCATCCGACGCCGATCCGGTACACAGCGATGTGTCCGTGGAAAAGAGCACTGTGAAGTGGCTCGTGCTGCCCAAGACCCACACGGGGGCTCGTGGGGCCTTGAGATAGCTTCCCACCGTGCAATAGCGCAGCGCTTCCAGGTGCGTCAAGTACCCCACCGTTGTTCGCGCTTCCACTCCGCGTAGCACTAGCCCAGAGTCACCCATCGGCACAACACCATCAAACACGTTGGACGTGGCGCGACCCGTCAACATGAGGTTCAGGAGTTCCTGGGAACCATGGCCGAACTGACCGCTCGTGAGACTTGACTCTACGTCATCCATGTCGCTTGCAAGACGATGCACACCCCGGGTCAAGATGAGGCTGTAAACGAAGCTCATCACACCGCGCTTTGCTTGCACCAAGAACGACAACACGCGAGGCACAAGGTCTGCGCGCGGGACATCGATTGGGGCAAATGAGTCGCTCGATGGAGTGACTTGTGATGCATCGATCAGCCAAATCTTGTCACTCGGAGACTCCGTTGCTTGCACGAGTACCTCGGCCAAGACGTTTGCAAGGAGGAGGTCACGGTCAGAAACTGTCAGCTTGGTGTCAATCTTGTCACCGAGTCGAGCTAGGAGCAGTGCCTACGCAAGGACGAGGGTCCGTCAGGTTAAAGCACTCGATTGGAAGGTGAACACCTGCACAGGGGCAAAGACACCGCAAGGTCCACCGTGCTGTTGTTGCAGGCCCCACGACGGAGCAGACTCATTTGCAGAGAAGTTGAAGTCTATCGTCAATACATGCATCATGCATGTTTCAGCGCATCGCGTGACATTACCTTCTCGATTCCATCTCGTTTCGACTTCGCTCACGTAGACGGCTCCGGCAGGGCCCCACATGAGCTTCCGCAACGACTCGGCCATCGTCGCAATCTGGCCAAAATGATCCCATGGAGTCATTACGTAACACTAAATACGGCAAAACAACATTATTTTTGGGTTTGGAGGTATTTTGACGAAGACAAAATAATTCATTCACACTAATACATGGAGAAACGTGACGTGATGCTGAGCGGCAGGTCGTCGACGTCGGCGAGAGAAGCCATCGACTTGCGCATCGCCATGGTCTCCGCTTCCCGTCGTGCAGAGCTCGCTGCTTCGGCAAATACTGCCGCCGCAAGTCTGGCGCGAGTATGGATTTCGTCAATGGACTTCGCTGGCATTTGCGGGTAGTTAGAGGGTGGAGAGATTTGCGCCGAGTCTTGCACGATCGACGTCATGGTATCGGCAAAGGAACCAACGGGGTCTGTGTCGTATTGCTGGAGCTTGGGAGGGAATGAAATGACCCACTCGGATGATGGAGCCGACGGTGCGGTTGTTGTGATGGTAGGTCCTCCTCCGTACGCCTCGGCCAGAGCCCGCCAGCCACGCTCGTCCAAGCATATGTAGTCTGTGGGTTTGACTGCAGCATTCGGAATGAGCTTTCCTTCAAAGAATGAGATCAAGGTATGGTTCGAGATGGGTCCAACGGTTGCCGTCTTCTCGTGTGTGCAGTGGCGACTGTACCACGCCTTCGAAATCACGTAGAGAGAAGGTGGGGTCGGTTGTGGTGGTCGTTCCTTCGTAGCCGAGGCCGAGAGAGTCATGGTACACGCGTAATTTGCGGCGTTTTTGGCTGGCGTTGACTTACTTCGACGAAAGCGAGGAATAGCCGCCACTGTCAGCTTGACGCGAGCGTCGCCGAGGTTCACAAGCTGCCGCAGCGTCGACGTACAAGCTGAGCAGGTGCGCTCAAGCTTCGCCCTAGTCGTTTTCCGAACGAACGACCGGGCTGTGGAGCATGCGCTGCAGACGAGGTTACCACAGAGGCGGCAATGATGCCGGCGCCGTCGAAACACCCCAAACGGGTCGGTACACACAGTGCACACCCTGCTGGACGCGTTGGGCTTCCAAGATACATCGAAGATGCTGGAAGAGGTCGAGCCTGCTGGCAGCCTTGTTTGTGGAGGGTGCATGTCCTGGTGGGATAGCTGGGTTTCCTGCACCGGTGGCCTGAATCTGAGCTCGTAGATGTCACAAAGATGCCCCATCGCTTCGAACCGGACGGACCTTTGCGCGGTAGAGTTGACAATTGCCACTGCCGCCGCCGCACCCTCCATGCATAACAGCAGCAGTGAGACGAGATCCAGCGGCCAATGCAACTCTCGGTGTCGCAACAAAGTTTACCCAATTTTCGTTTACGTTTCACCCGAATTTTATAAAATCCCATCAAATTCGATGAAAAATTCCCAAAATAGAAGCGACAACGTTTCATTGGCAGAAAAATCGTCCTCGTCTCTGCGCCGCCACTGCCTCTCTTCTGCGACACGCATGTTCAATGTGAAAACCTAACAAATCGAGCCGTTGGGCTCGACAGACGTAAGTTGGGGACGAGAACGGGTTGATGGTCTCTTACAACAACTTTGCTTACGTGTCAGGGCAGCTGGATGGTTGTCGAACGGAGCCTTGGAATGCTGATGGCGAAAATTTGAATAAATTTTCACGAAATCGGACAGAACTTGTAATTCGCTCGAAACTCAGCCATAGAGGACGGAAGACATGTCCTTTAAAAGAGTACAAGCATTTTTAGACTAGGAATTGTTTGGTACAGCGACCAATTGATTTTTATAAAGCCACTTGTATACTACACCATCAGGTGAACAACTTCAATCGCGTGCACACTCCTCCTGGGAAGTACGCTGCACCCACTAGCAACGCCTTTAGAATCAGACATCGCCGGCTGCGAGAGGGTCGACGGCGGTAGGACTTTGGTGTAAGGGGCGGCGCGTGAAGGTGCCGTCTGTTCATGCCAGAGTTGGAAGCGCCGCTGGTGTACGCAATACCTGATGTGCTGATACATGACGCGATCGAGGCTCGAATACCGCGGCGACAGGAGCACAATTCTGTATTTCCGAACCCCGTTCGACATCCTGTCTCCACGCAGTGGAGCCAAGAACAGCGCCAATCGTTCCACCACCGACCGACATTGAGATCATGAAGGACAAGACCTCAATTCCTCCGTCGAGTTAACACCACGAATGTTACTCCATCGCCTTGATGGATGGATGGCCACGGCGCGATGTGCACTCTTTGTGTTGGTCAGGTTTGCCGGTGTTCTGGTTCCATGGCATTCCACGATGGTCGACTGCTTGCCATTGGCACGAGACTGAGCGAACTCCGAAAAGTTGTACACCTTGAACATGTCACTGCTTGGCCGCGCTGGATGACGACTACACTCGACTGAATTCCATGATCTGAGCTTCTGGACTCCTTCTCACGCTCGTCTGGCGTATTCTTGTCGCTTCTGTGTCGCTTTACGCCATGCAATTCCTTTCCTCGGGTCGCTGGAGACATTCCATTCAAAGATGTGTGCATCACGAGCCGCCGCACCTTGTAAGGCAATTGCAGCGCAATAAACACATCCTTTTCGTCTCGACAGATCACGTTCGGCCCTTTCTTGAGTTTCTTTACGCCTTTGGACCGCGCTGCCTTGTACAGTCCTTTGTCCGTCAGGCTGTAGCCCTACGCAACCAGGTAAACACCAATGCGACGGTCGTCCTGACTTTGGTCTTTGCAAACGCGCGCATGCTGCGATTAAAGTGGTCGCTCCCTGTAAAGTACAACTGCGCAAACCCAAACAGGTTGCGTGGGTACACCTTGAGGTCAATGCGGCGATGGCGCATGCCCTGTCCGCGTCCCGTCCGCTTCACAATGTCACGTGGACGACTTCCTACCTCGCGCAACCGACACACGCCCATGTACGAATCGCTGTCACCGATGTGGTGCTCGTCCATCGTCGTCAAGTCGTCTACAAAAACCCACGTCATCGCGCGCCGCATGTGCTTGTCAACTACCCGTGAGAAAGCCACACGCGTGGAGGTCGGCCACCAACCCTGGACACACGTCAGCCATGGTTTGCATGACTCGACTGTACGGGGCAAAATGTTGCAATCGTCCTGCGTTGGGTCCGAGATGAGGACGTCGACGTCCCCAGACTGCCCTTTTCCGCGGCGGTACGACCCGCACGTGACGGCCACGGCGCGGGGCAAGAGTTTATGGACGTATTGCTTCACGACGCTCTCGATCTCGTCGACTTCGCCCCTGCATGCCATGTCACTTCAGAGCGGAAGACAGTCTACGACGACCTAGGAATTTTGACCAAAAAGTCATCGTAGTGCTTGAGTCCAATGCGCTGGTTCTCGGTCAGCACGTCGGCTTGCTTTCGCCGCACGTCGTCCAGTGTGCGAAACCCCGCACTACGGCCACAAAATCGTGATATCCACGCACAGCGACTGTGTACTTGTATAAATTCGTGGCGGTGACTGGTCCGACGCCCCAAATCTTGGAGAATCGCAGCAAGACTTGGAGCCGCGCGTCGGCTTTCTTTGCCTCGAGCTTCCGCAGCGTTCCGGTTTCAAGAATCTCTCGGATCTTTGCAATGCCGTTTGCATTCAACCCGTGCTGGGGGTGAATGGCGTCGGCGGACGTGATGCGCACCGGCAGCTGCTTCAAAATCGAGCAGATGCGCTGCGTCCATGAGCATGCGTTAGGCCGGCAAGATCGAGGGAGAGAGTGGGAAAGACCTTGTAGCTATTTTCTCGCCACTCATCATGCTCGACGTGAAGGTACTCCACAAGTTGTTCGAACGGCGCCGTCAAGTGAGCATTCAAGTTCGTTTTTAACACTGCACGACGTAGATTTGTCAGGAGATGCCGTTGTGCGAAAACAAAATTCGTTGTACCTGAAGATGTCGTACACACGAACGCGTCCATGTTGACCTTTCGAGGCATGGCGCTCTCCTCGGCGTGGATCGCGCGCATTTCAGGGTTGTGCGTGTAGAACAGCTCGCGACGAGCTACCCAGTCGGTCTCTTCATCGTCTTGGCTTTGTATTTGATATGCAGGCATCGGTGTACACTCCAGCGACGATGACTCGGGAAGAATATTATCCTGCACTGGTTGAGGCGGCGGTGCATCTTCAGCTGCAGATGGTGGTGATGGCAGGGTTGTCGATGGCGGTGCTTCGTCGACGGCATGCCAGGAACATTGAGACGGTAACTGTCTTGTTTGGAGGAGCTGAATCGCCCATTCGGGGGACACTACTCGGCAGTCGGACGCAATCCCAGGACAGACGGACGCAAGTCGTTCGCGGGTGAGGGTCGTGCTCGCAACCACGATCGTCGTTGCGCCTGGACGATACGCATCGTCCACGTGTACCCCACGTTTGGTCAACTGCGTCTTCCAGATGTCGAGCCGCCTTCGGGTCATGTCCTGTCCCACGGGAACGAAGTAGATACTGTCATCGTTGTTCAGCAAGGAAGGAGTCGTGACTGCCTTTCCTGGGGAAGCCGCAGACTTTCCTTGAGGTGGTTCGACGCTCCTTCGCTTTGGCGGCGTGTATATCTCGTCCAGCTTGTCGAAGAAGCGCCGCTTGCGGGTATTGCTCAGCATGATGCTTTTGTCCACCTCGCCTTCAATTGCCTACGACAAACACTCTGTTTTGGCCAATTGAACGTGCCACACGTGGCAGCACGAGTGCATTCGCGAAGCACGGCGACTGATGGCTTTCGTTGGAGTGCCCAGCCAGGCGCTACTGGTCTTCGGGCGCGCCGCATCGCGATTCCCCATCACGTCCATTCGTGGTACTGTACGGCCATGTGAATGGATCGTGGACATGTGGCGGTGGATAATCATGTTTCTTGTCGGCTTCTTGTATAAAGCTGCGGATGCGGCAAACACTGGACGCCGATCTTTAGCTTTCGATCGCTTCACGCGCTAGGGTCGTCTAGAAGGGCTGCTTATAGAGCACGCGGGATCGAGCGCTGGCCGCTCGCATGCCTTCATGGCGTTGCATGGACTGCTCTCTCTACCCACAAGGAAAAATCCATGGGCCACCTGGGTAATACATGTTTATCCCACCCATGTCTTGATACCGACACATGCAAATTGAGTTTAGAGGGTTTTACCCAACGCTCCGCCTCCGGATACGAGGGGAAATCCGGATAAACGAGAAGGTTGAAGGTCTGGAATGGCGACGTCATTATCCCATTTGCCGCCACACCGCCATGAGCCAAAAGGGCGACACCACCGTCCAAGACGTCGCGCCCGAGCCGGTGAGTTGCGGCGCGTCATGCATGCGGAGCCTCAAGGTGGTTAGGTGCGTGAACCATCGCCCTTCATCCAAGCGTGCAAATCAGGCAACGTGGACGCTGTCAAGGCCTTCCTCACCGACCTCGAGATCGACGTCAACGAAGCCGACCAGGTACGCTACCTTGAACGAACCTTCCAGAAAATGATGGATCGGTATGAGTAGGATGGGTGCACGGGTCTCATGGCCGCAACCCTTGAGCAATCTCTGGATGTTATAGACATGTTGCTACAAGACTCGCGCGTGCGCATCAACGCTGTTGACAACGTACCCCCATTTCACACCAGCTCTTCCTCGCTGAAACTTCTAACTAGGAATGCGACACGGCCTTCATAATCGCCTGCGCGACTGGGAACGTAGCTCTTGTTCAGCGCTTCCTCCAAGAACCGGCGCTGGACATCAACCACGTGAACACTGTACGAAACCCCATCGGACTTCTCCACCTCATGTAATCGCGTAGCGAGGCATGAGCGGCTTCGTCGTGGCGTGCATGATCGGCGAGAAGGATGTCGTGGACCTCCTCAAGGACAATGACCAACTCAACGTCCAGCATCTGAGCATGGTACGCACCACCCTTCTCAAGGATTCGATCGCCATGTATAGGGTTTGTACTTTGCTGGCGTCGGCGGTCAAGCCGAAATTCTTGGCTTGCTGGCATCTCTGCCGAACGTGGACGTAAACATCACCGACCCCGTAAGCAACTTCCTCCATGATGCCATCATCATGCCATGGTAGATGCACGGAAACACCCCCTTGATCGTGGCCAGTCAATTTGGCCAAATCGACGCTGTGAAGCAATTGCTGTCGAAAGATGCTATTCAAGTTCACCACGCGAATAAGGTGCGTCGACCGACCCATCGCTGGCCACCCTCATCCATGTCGACGACAGTATGGCGGAAATGCGTTCCGCAGTGCATGTGACCGAGGCTACATTGGCATTGTCGATCTCTTTCTCGCCCGAGGTGACGCCTCCAACGAAGATCTGAACGAGGTACATATGCCACGACCCGATCATGGGCCGCTCCACTCTTTTGTCGCAGGGACTCATCGCGGCAGTCGCGAACGGCCATCTCGCGTTGGTCCAAAAGCTGCTGGCACTTCCAGAAGTCGACATCAACTACACTGTGCATCCCGCCGATTCAAGTGTACGACCTGGCGGTACTTTTACCCGGCATTGAAGGGTCTCGGTGCAGGTGCAGTTGACTCCGCTGACCGTCGCCGCCAGCAATGGCTGTCTCGACATCGTCCGCGAACTCTTGAGCCACGAAAACGTCCAAGTGAACCCTGTTAACCAGACGATCGCGTCCCCGTTGGTCCAGGCCAGCTACAACGGCCACTTGGATATTGTGAACGTCCTCTTGGGCCACCCTGGCATCGACCCCAACCAACTCAACGACGTACTCTTCCTCTCGGTTCGATGTGTTGTCCGAGCGACTTCCATTAGTACAACAACAACGCGTTGTATGCTGCAGTCGCCCACGGCCACCAACCCGTGGCGCTGCGCTTGCTCCAAGTCGACGACCTCGCCGTGCACAACCGAAACACGGTACTGCCTGCACACCTCGTCTCGTTGGTGCCTTCTCACAACGTGGCAGGCCAACCAAACGGCGTTCATGATTGCAAGCTGCTTGGACCAAGTCGCCGTCGTCGAGAAGATCATGACGCTGCCCGACCTCGACATCAACGCCGCCGACATGGTACACCGCTTGGTTACATCAAGGCGATTGACAGAGCATTTGGGTGTAGGCAGGGAAGACAGCGCTGTTGTTGGCGACTGCAAAAGGAGCATCGAACGTTATGCCACTCCTGCTCGCGCATCCGTCATTGGACCCGAACCAAACCGATGACGTACCGATGGGCCATTCAACGACCACAAACATAACACGATTTGTGTAGAAGGGGTCGTCGGCGCTGTTGACTGCCTGCGCGACTGGCCGCGCGGACATCCTCCACCTCCTGTTGGCACACCCGAAGATCGATGTCAACTTGGCGACTGGGGTATGCTTGGCGTCGTGGATTCATTGATGAACCTGTGCAGGACGCATCGACGGTCGTCTTCGGTGCTGCTCTCAACGGCGCTGTTGACATGCTGAGAATCTTGCTCGAGGACGAGCGATCCAACGTGAACGTGACCGACAAGGTTTGCCAAACTCGATCGGGAAACGCAAATGTTGTGCTGATGGACAGTCTAGCGCGGCAACACGCCGTTGATAGCTGCCTGCCACACAAACCAGGCGGAGGTCGTGCGCGTCCTGCTGTCGCATCCCTCGATCGACCTCTCGATTCAGAACGCGGTACGATGACATGAAGTCAGCCGTGCGTGAATGACGTTGTCCCATGCAGGAGGGCAAGACGGCACTGGACATCGCCACGTCGAACTACTTTCAAGATGTGGTCGATTTGCTCGTGGCCCACCGCTAAGTCCCACGGCATGAGCCAGCGTCTAGTTAAAGCAAAGAGTACGAATGTGAATGTGTCGAGCCCAGGCTCCACCTAGAGTTCCAACGGGGCGTGCTCGTCAACGAGGAAATGCCCCCCCCTTCTCTCCAGCACTTCACCCACTGCATGCTTGCTGCTCCCGTGGTCGGGTGCTGTGTCGGACGAACGCAGCTCGAGCACCTTGATGCTCGAGCACACCGTTCACACACCCCACGCAACTAGCCATTTGCAACAATGGAAGCTGAGTTCACGTTCTTGCTTGCATGGTGAGCTTTGCAGACTGCTTTTGGCTCTAGAGCCAGCGGCAACACCACGGCCGCTCTCTCCGGCCGCGTCGCCATGCGTTCCGATCCGCCGCCATCAGACTCCAGTTCGCTGGAGGGCATTCATCCGGATAACGTTAATTTGAATTTTTCACATTAAGATGTGCCAACGCCCGAACGCGTTCAACACGACGGCGCACTCCGACGAGGACCGCCAGGACGTACGGCATACGAGCACATTGACAAGATAATGGTACTCATGCGGCGATTAGTTGCACGATGCTACTCTAGTGGGCGACGACATTGAGCAGGATATGGTGTTGGACTTCCTTCACAACCTGGACAACCCCGCTCGCACGCAAATAAACGTGAACTTTGAGACACAGGTACTCGATTCATCTTCGCCGATACTCGAGTACGTTGCACGGTCAACGTGAGTAGAGTGGCATGACACCTCTCATCCTTGCGTGCATCTTGAACCAACACGTCGATCGTGTTTTGGCGGAACCGACCCTGGACATCAACTACAAGAACGCTGTAAGAATGCGCATGCTCCACGTGATCTATTTCTCATGCCACCGTTGATCAGTATGACTGCAGTGCTCTGATGGCAGCATGCGAGGCGAACCAGCTCGAGGTAGTCCAAAAGCTCCTCGCCCATCCGGCCATCGATCTCGGCGATTTGAATGCGGTACGCATTTCCGACAATGGTTATAAAAGCATCGTTCGTAGAGCTTTTGCATGGCATGCAAGGGAGGCCACGACTCCGTCGTTGATTACCTCCTCTCAACATATCCCGACATCGACTTGAACTACGGCATGACCACCGAAGACGACCAGATCGAGGTGCATCTGATGCGTGGCGACTGTCCATAGCATGTCACGGCGTTGCGTAGCACATCTCCGGGCTGGAACTGGCCATCATGAATGGACATGAGAAGGTCGTGCTATCGGTGCTCAAGCAGTGCTTCAGCACCGACTACGCAAAATTCAATGCCACCCTTGTACGTGCTGATTGAGTACCTGCCCACGTCTCATGGCTGCAAATTCGACAGCACGTCCGGGCGAGCGCTCTTAGCAAGGCTTGCCAGGTTGGCAATGTCAACATTGCCAAGCTGATTCTCGCCACGGGCAACTTTGAGAGCATCCACCTTAGCGACGTACGATCAAATTTTGTCAGCGTCGTTATCAAGACCGCTTGCTCCAGGGCATGAACGAAGCGTGCTCGAATGGCCATCTCCCCATCGTGCAGCTTCTTGTGGATGATTACGAAGTAGACATCAACTACGGGGAGCCCTTGGATGCGCTGGACTCGGACGACCCCGACATGTTTCCGGTACGTTGGTCCGTGCGTGGTGTGGAGGCGAGCGACAATCGACCTGATTGTAGCTAGGAGTCACACCGTTCTACTTGGCGTGCCAGAGCAACCACAAAGAGATTGTCCAGTACCTTCTGACGCTTCCCTGCCTGGACCCGCGCCAGCTTTGCAGTGTACCCAAACACGTGCCCCACCGATCGAAAGCTCATCTCTACCTCGCTCTAGGCACTAAATGCCGCTCCAGACATGGACATTGTCGACGTGCTATTGTCGCATCCAAAGCTCAACATAAACGACACTGTGGTGCGCCTGCACGACAATTGAATCTCCGTTGTCTGATCCAGCGACCCTTAGGGAGATCTCCCGCCGCTCACGATCGCTTGCGTCGACGGCCACCTGCCAAAGCTCGCGCGCCTCCTGGCTGTTCCGGACATTGACGTGAATTACCGACACAACGCAAGTCCATGGTGGCGGACGGGCAGGGTTGATACAGTGTTGTGGCTGTAGAACGATACAACTGCATTCATGATTGCGTGCTCCAAGGGCTCTGTCGACGCGGTGAAGCTCTTCCTCGGTCACCCCGAACTCGACTTGTCCGCCGTGAACCAGGTGCCTTGCCGACCAAATCTGTCGAGGTCGTTCTAAACTCACCTTAGCATGGCGCGGACGTCCTCAGTATTGCGAGTGACGCTGGCCATGCTGATGTGGTGTCGTTGCTGCTAGAGCATGCGCACTTTGACGCCAAGGAAGTGCGCGGTGAGGTCCGTTGATCTCTTGTCAGGTTGAATTTCAAAGCGGCAGTTGTCCGTGTAGGCCCTCGGCGTGGCGTGTGCGCACGGGCGAATCGACGTGGTGAAGCTGCTCGTGGCATGCCCCGCCATGAACGCAAACCACGTGGAACTCGTACATTTCTCATAGTGTTTCGGCATTCATCTGTCTTACAGGGTCTGTTTTTGGCTTGCCAAGGCGGCCATCACACGATCGTCCGATTTCTCTTGGAAACGTCTCCGCACGCTGTCAACGTGAATGCGTTGATGGCGATTCCGGGCCAAGTAGCCACCGCCCCCTTCCGATGCCACTAAGATCAACCGGTTTGTAGGAGAGCGCGACATGCCTCATCGTCGCATGCGGCCATGGCCACGATCGAGTCGTCGCTGTCCTACTCGAGCACCCCTCGATAGAGTTGAATGTTGTCCAGGGGGTATACATTCGATCCGTTGACGTTGTGCTCATGGGCTCTAGACGCCGTACGTGCCCCTCGTCCAAGCGTGTTCGTTTGGTCATTTTGAAGTCGTGAAGCTCTTGTTGGGCCACCCCAAGATTGACGTCCACTGCAAAGGCGCGGTACAATTACCTCTCCTGTCAAATTCCGTTGTACCTGACGATGTGCTTGAAAGGGGACCACGGCGATGGCAGCAGCCCAAGCAGGCAAGCACGTCACGGTTCAGGCCATTCTACGACAGCATGTCGCACCCAAGTGCAGGGAGCCACCCCAGGTAAGTCACAATGGGGGGATGCTGTGGTTGACGGAACTCTAGAAACGGCAAAAGCCCACCAGTCCGCCAGCATCGCACCCCACCAAGCCTTGACAACGTCGTCCGTGTGCAACGTTTCGCCATGCATGACATGCTTCGCCAGCATCACAAATATCGGAAATCGTCGAAACGAGATATGTGCATAAGCCTGTGGTATCAACTCCAGCGTCGAAACCGCAGACCCGTCGGACCACCGCGCAGCAATGGAAATCGACTGTGCTACCCTGTTGCTTGGACGCCAAGGAGGGCGAGAATATCCGGGCAGTCTTGGGCCAACATGGCGGGCGTTTGATTTTTCTACACGAGTTTGATGCGTCGAATGGAAGGCACCAAACTTACGTGGTTGGGGACCGTCATGTCGATGTTGGGGTGCTTCATCAAGGCAGCGACCACATCCACTTGATGCTTGGCGCATGCGCCAGTGAGAGCCGTGTCGCCATGCTAGTGTGTTTTTCAAGTACGTGTGCATTTTCACACCGAAAAAGTCGTCGGTCGTACCGGATTCTTGTAATTCACATTCAACGATGGTTGCTGCAACAGTAGCGACACGACGTCGGTGCACCCGTTCGAGCTGGCAAGAATGAGCGCGGTCGAGCCTCGCTGGTCACCGAGTCAGCGGGCGAGGCCTGTTTGAGGAAGGATTGCATACCGAATTGACAGCGTTGATGTCCGTGGACGGCTCGCAGAGAAGGCGCTCGACGACGCGAATGGCATTCTTGGAGCACGCGTGCATGAATGGTGTGATTCCAAGCTGATAGCAACGATGAGAACTGCATCACAATGTTGGGGCGGGCGATGCCGTGGGTACCTTGGTCGGGCGGAGAACGTCGATGGCTGGCTGAAACGTCAATAAAATGTCGACCAGATCGAGTTCGTCGAGGCCACACAGCTCGAGGAAGATGGTGTGGCCATTCTAACGCGCATTGAGGATTCATGGATGCGCGGTTGGGAGCCATCCTCGTACCGACATGAGGCTATTGAGGTCGACTGCAGACTGGTGCAGAAGGAAGTCGACTGTTTTGTTGTAGTCACTTGTGCTAAGGGCCAAAAGCAGCCCCTACGGGACCATGAGAATGGCGCCACGAAACAGGGGTCATCTTGTACATCAGCGACCATATCCACGTCCGTGGATGGCTGCGCCAGGAGCAGCTTCAAAACGTCGAGCTGGCCGTGCAGGCACGCCAAGCCAAATGCCGTCGCATTGTCCTTCACAAGTCGGTGAATTCTGTCCACTTGCTAGTAGATCGAATTACGGGGCTTTGGAGTCCCAAATCCGTTCGTGGATCGTGCACAAATAGCTCGACGATGTCTGTAAACCCGTTCGAGCACGCCATCATGAGCGCATTCACACCATCCTGGCACCGCATCATGAGAGTAGTCTCGACGGCCCCTGGCGATCGCGTCGTACCTCAAGCACGAAGTTGACGTCGAGGTCGGGGATTTGCAGGAATCGAACTACTTTTGCTGTCGACCCATCCGTGCATGCGTACGCCAGCGGAGTGATCCCAGCCTGACCGATCCACGTGACACGTCCTTTTTCGTGCGCGTGTATCTCACGTACCACACCAACGGCGTTGACGTTGACCTTGGGATGGCGAAGAATCATCTCGACAATGTGCATGTCTTGCGCCATGCACAGACCCTGCGCACAAATCCATGACACAATCGTCATGCCATGGCGTCGTACCGAGCTCAACTGGGTTCCATCAAAGTCGGGGTGTTGGAGCAGCAACGCGACGATGTCGGCATAGTTCTCGGCGCACGCGCCGGTGAATGCGCCCATCCCATCCTGTGCCACGTCAGCGCCATGAACGAGACGATGGTCGTACAGGAAACAAGTTCTGCGAGTCTTCGTCGATGTGCGTGTTGGTGTAGTTTACGTCGACCAGCTCCTCCGATAGCAAGTACTCGACAACGTTGGCATGGCCATCCAAGCACGATTCGTAGAACCCCTGGGCCGACAGCATGACCACCGAATGCCAGCGGTGGTTGAAAGGACGTACTTGGTTGAGTTGGTCTAGCAACAGCACGTTCAAGTTGACGAGCATGGTCGCAATGTCAACGTGACCACTCTTGCACGCGGCAACGAAGCCGTCTTCGACGAACTCGGCCTGGGGCCCGGCGCTGCCCGAGTGGTGCTGGAGCAAGAAGGCCGCGACGGGAAGATGTCCTTCCCGGCATGCCATTGCAAATGGACTGATACCATGCTAGTTATGCCGATGTGAACAGCGTGAGGTCGTCGAAACGAGAGACCTTACCGCGTTAACAAGCGTTGTGTCGAGCTCGGGCTGCTCGTACAAAAGCTGGACGACGTTCAGGTGCCCCATCGTGCACGCCACCATTAACGCCGTCACATCATTCTGCCAGTGGTACGGTGAGAGCGTGAAGGTGGCATGGAAGGGATCGCAACCTGGTTCTGGTAATTGATGTCGAGGGTGACCTCGAGAAGCAGACGATTTACGACGTCGATGTTGCCACATGCGCATGCAAAGATGAACGCAGTTAGACCATCCTGAGTTGCTCAGGATCGTGAGTTGCGCCGACGATGGACAGCTACTACCTCGCCTTCAAACGTGATGTCCACACCAGGACACGAGAGCAAGAACTCCACGACATCCAAGTCACACGCAACATGGAGGCCCTAACACATATGGAGGGGGTAAAGCGAGGCTGTACAAGAGCAAGACCACGGCGGTCTACAACACACTCGGTCGAGTTCAGTTGGGTTCACGAGGTCCTTGACGAGGTCGAGGTCGCCGTCTTGACATGCTTGAAGGAATGGCGTTGGCTGGACCGTCGGCTCTTCCATCTACACGTCTGCATGAGGCAAGGGACGTCGTCAAGGTCCCTACAGGTTCTTGCGGGGCTGCAGCGGTCGCGTCGACGGTGCCCTTGGTGCACATTGGCGATTGTTGGAATGACCGTCGTCACGCAGGGAAAACCAAATGTCCCATTCCCAAACACGCACCGAATCCCTGCCATCCGGATAGATGAAGAGGTATCTAATTTAAAATATGTTGGCACCATCCCGATAAACTCAGGTGCTTTTTCCCCAATGTAAATCCCACATGACGTATGCCGTGCAATTGTGATTGCACGCTCGGATGGAGCCGACGCCGTCGCCATGGAAGGAGGACAATGACAGACGAAGTACGTGCATTGAGCTACACATTATCATCTATCTCGACGAAGGATGCAACGTACCTTTCCTTCTCTTGGGTGAATGCGTGTGTGGCGTGGAATCGTCGGTGACGCAATCCGTCCGCCTCTTGCCATTCACCACGCCAAGCTGCTCCGTCGACGGTCGTGCGATCCATCGCGGGAGCTGGGTCCTCCGCACGTAATGCACTTGGAGGTCCATGTCGCTTGTTCGCTGCGGCCACAGATCTAACACAGCCGCAAATTCCTGCACGGCGGCAGTGAAATCCACACTAAACCGCTGCGCATTGTCGGGCAAGTGGAACGCAAGCCCCACGAAGCAGCTCGACGACGTTACGCCAGTGCTGGTGCTACTGGTAGCAGTATCAGTCTGATCGTCGGTGGGGATGTCGTAGAAGCGCGCGAACGGAGCGATGTCGACATCTTCCATTTGCTCCAGTCTAGTCATCCGTGCTGGCTAAAGCATTCGAATGAAACGCGCCTTTGTCGTACCGGCCAAACAGGGAGCGCAGTCGGGATTCAACCCAGCCAAACCACGACGTGAAATGCGCCGGATCGGACGAAACATCGATGCGGAGAAAGTGCTCCCACCTAGACAAGCCTCGATAAGGTCCTTTCCCGACAGTCCATCCACACCGGTTAAAAAACGACGATTCAAGGAACAGCTCTTCCCATGGCAGGCTCTACCAAGACGCGCCGTTAGCTTTGAAAAACACACCAACGCAAGGCCGACCTGGAGCTCAATGTCGACACACACCGTCGCCGCCTGCCGGAACTCTGCCTGCATGAGGCGCAACGTACAATCCAGGACGTTGTAGGACGAGTTCATGGCGGGAAATGCCGGGGTGATGATGGGCATGAGGTGGAGCCGGTCCCGAGGGTATAACTTGGGATTCCACGACTACACTCGATGACAAGACCAGCGACGTGCCGATGCGAGCTCGTACCTGGAGATGGTGGAGTTCCGCATGCTTGCCATCGTCGTCCATGATGTTGTTGAGCAAAATGGGATTTGGCCAGATCCATTGGTGGTAAACGCGGAAAAATTTGGTCAGAAGCGTTCCTGGAAAAATGGGTCGATCACTCGGCAGGATGGCCAAGGGAGTGCAAGGTACCCGCAAGGGACTGGGGGTACAATTGGCACACGCGAGCGACGAGGATGGCCCAGTTGACTCCTCCGAGGAAGCCCAGCACGTTCGAGTAGATGCCTCGCATCTACAGACATGTCATTCCACATGCCGACGACTGGTATCAAGGTAGCAGTACGCGCGCCCAATGCTTGACTGCCACCAGCGTCAAGCGGAACTGGTCCAGGTTGGGGACAAGTTGCAGGATCATTTCAGCCACGCGGCAACCGTTCAAACTCCGCACCTACGGACGCCATGGGTGAGTCAGCACTGACGAAAATGGCGAGTACGTACACCCGGCTCGTCAACGTCACGTAGAGTCTTCGGGTCGAGCAGATCGATGTCTTCCGGAACACTCGCAACGTCCAGAGCGACGAAAAGGAGATCGATTGCGACGCCCAACACTTGGAATTTGATCACGGGCACATACGCGTCAGGGATCGAATGCACCGACGTGACTTGCGCTTGGTGCTTGAGTAGCAATGGGAACGACGTGAAGAACCCCAAGCGGGAACAGTGGCGAGGAGCGAGGCATAGCGTATCGATATCAGCTTCCGGACTGTGAACTCCCAAGCGATACGATCCAAACGTGCGAATCTGAGTCAGCGACGTTGCATCCACAACCAGCCCTCGTTTCGTTGCTTCATTTTGAGCCCATTGCTCCACCCATGCACCAACGAGCTCCAGCGCATTTTCACGGCGAAGGCTTCCCTCGGCGCTTTCGTACAAATTCCACTGCCTGCAGACGAACGAGAGTCAGTAGTGACAAGTGGATGTCCTCCACGCTCTACCTGAGCGTGTCTGTGAGGGACGACGTCAATTGATGGTCTGTTGATGTTGGGCCAGCCTACGTACGACAACCACGGCGATGAGCGAGCGCTCTGTCGTGTGACGCCTACCAGTGAGATGGGCGGCGTGATCCCATTGTTCGATCCGTGCAAGTACATGCCCGTGCCGTCGGGCTTGTCGGTCCGTGTTGCGTTGGTGTGAACCACGCGAATTCGAACCTCGCAATCGTGACAATCGCTCCGGGACCTACATTCCCCACGACTTTGAAATTTTACAAAATATAAGGAAAAACAGTTTGTCGACATATACATACATGCATCATACTTACGTACATGCATCTGCCAAAGAGGGACAGTGAGGTGGATGAGAGGATGAAATTCTTTGTATGGTGGGTTTGAAATTCAAATGCACGAGGCGGACATGTTGGCACCAAGTCCTCTCTAGTAAATGAAGGTCCGTATGACTTTGGTTGAGAAGCATAAATTGCACGTTCTTCACATGGAAATCCCCTCGCAAACGTACACCCCGGATGGGGCGAAAGAAACGCTTCATCTCTCGTGTACACCATCCAAATCCACAATTGAAAACAGCGTTTTTTCGGGTTTCGAAGTTTCGTTGCCTCTCCTTCTTGATGGGTTGACATTACAAGTTCCATGTGCGACGCAAACTCACGAGCAAGATGCAGCACGGTGACGAGTTTCAGAGTCGCCCGAGGCAGTCAGCACCGGCCGCAAACCATGAAGAAAGCAACGAGTGCCTAAGATTTCAAGGACATCTACAAAATGGATGAGACTTCGTTCTATTTTGACCTTGATTACACATAACCGTGTTGTTCCGCACCCCGCACCTTCGACGGGACGTCGAAGGTACAGGAGCCGCTCGCTTGGTCCGATTCACAATGCAAACTGAATTACAGTCAGTTAGTCAGCATAGCCAAAACAAGTGTTGCGCAGTTTCCAGGGAGCGGCAGCCGATCGGGCGCTGGGAATGGCGGTCCGGGTTCCATTGATGCTTGCAGCCGAAGGACAGCGCGTTGTGTTGTAGTCGGAACAGGTCGGCGAAGAGTGGCAATAAATTCTTGTCTTGCTTGAGTTCATACTTCCAGATCGACAAAACTGCATCGGTTCTGGAAGGGACAGTCGCGCCCACGGGGTCTGGCGGCGGAGCTTTTTTCACAAGGAGTGAAAAAAGGTGCTTGTTCCTCAAGGACAATGGGGTCCAACCAAGGCAAATGGTGTTTGGCGCGCCTTGGAGAGCAAGAACCTTGACCATGGTGCGTAGCCTGAGCAACTTGATGCTGGTGGCAACATGTGGCATGCCTAGGCCTCCTTGAGAGCGCGGTAGGTGTAGCCAAGTCTTGGAAAGTAGTTTGCGATGAGACCTTGCTTGTGGAGTCGGCCATACACAAAGTCGATGGTAATTTCTTCGATTTCCGACACCACCGAGTCGGGGACGTGGCAAGTCGCTGCTGTATACCACAGCAGGGGAAGCACCATGGTCTGCAAAATGACCACCCGGCCATGCAAGGTTCTTGAGCGGTACTTCCATAGGTTGCAGCGACTTGAAATTGCTTGAACGATAGCGCGATACCGGTCTTCATCAGTGATGTCCGGTCCTTCTTGGATTCCAAGCCAGCGACATTTTTCAGAGCGCTGAATAAACTTGGGGCCTTGTAGTTGGTGAACAGTAGCAACAAGGTCTTCAGGATAAGTTGGGCAAAATGGCATCACGATGGTCTTGCTGACGTTGAGCTTCATCCCGGTAGCCGAGCAAAATTCTTGAACACACGCCAGAAAAGTTGCTGAGTCTTCCAGGGAGTGCAACAGGCCCGTGACGTCGTCGGCAAAGGCAATCGTGAGATGTCGTTGAGTCGGCGTTGAGATGCCCAGGTGGGAGAGCTTGACTCGCAGGTAAACCAGTAAAGGTTCAATAAAAAGCACAAAAAGTGCCGGCGAGATCGGATCCCCTTGGCGAACGCCGCTGCCCAGCACAAACGGATCCAGGGGGGAAGAGTTGAATAAAATCGAGACTTCCGTGTCGGCAAACAGAGTCTCCATCCAGGCGCGGTAATTTGGCCCAAAGCCAAAGTGCTCGAGCGTCCGAATGAGAACTTGTCTTGAGACGGAGTCGAAAGCCTTGGCAAAGTCGCACATGATTGCACCCGCGGTCTTGATGTCGTTGGACTTGCACCACCGCTGAAGGTCGTGAAATCTTGTCAAGGCATGCTGGATGGAGCGGCCCGGCGTAAAACCATATTGGTCAGACCCCAATAAATAGGGCAAGACCAAATTGGTTCGCTTGGCAAGCATTGCAGGCGCGAATTTCGCAGCAACATTGAGCAATGTCAATGGCCGATAGTTTGAGTGCACATCCTTGAAGCCCCCCCTTGAAAAGCAACGAGAGGGAGGCTTTGCGTTGCAGGTCAGTCATTCGCTTCCTTGAAAAGTTGAAGTCGTGGACTTGAGCAAGGAAAGCACCCCACAGGTCGGAGTTGACTTGGAAGTATTCGTAGGGCAATCCGTCGGGCCCTGGCGCTTTATTCTTGGGGCCTGAGCGGATTGAGCTTGTGAATTCTTCAGGGGAAAGGTGGGTTTCAAGCGAAGTCTTCTGTTCTTCCGAAAGACGTGCAGTTGTATGCTGCAAAATTTTGCTGTGCAGCGAAAGGTTGATGTCTTGAGCTGGGGCTTCAGCGTCGGCGGAAGTAGAGTGAAAAATCTTGCCCCAGTAGCGCCGGCAATGCGCTGCTTGAATGTTCCAGTCATGTGCATCTTTGACGGGGAATTTACTAGCGCGCTGCTGGCTGACTGGGGGACGGAGGAAAATGCGCGAGCATTTTTCTTGAGAGTCGACTGTTCTCGAAATAAGTCGAGTTCGTTCCGTTCTTTGATTCTTCGCAGTGCATCTTGGAGATCTTGCTTGGCTTTGACAAGTTCTTCCGCAAGGGCTTCACTTGGGGAAGCGGCAAGTGCAGTCGAAAGGCCCGCGACGCTGATCGCAATCCCGGAGGTCTTCTTCGCGCTGGGCAGACACGATAGACTGGAGATATTTCTTGTCGTGAAACAAGTGATCCTCCAGGACCTTGGCAGGGTTGTAGTCGGGGTCTTCCTTGGGCATAGGCTGGCCATGGTGCACTTCAGCGTAAACGAAATATGTTGGCGGACTTCAGGCAGGGCCAACACCCATGTGGGCAGCGCCAAGGGGCTTTTTTCTTGTGCTGGAAAGAATTTGCGGTCAAGGAAAAACAATCGTCGCATGATCGTTGTGGAAAAAGGCTTGGTACAGTACTTGTCCACTTGATATCGGTTCGACTGGAGATTTTCTTGATGAAATGCGCCCGAAAAGAAAACGTAGTCGATTCGATTCGAGTGCGTTGGATTGGAATAAACTCGGCGGTCGAGATGATATAACCGCCAAGAGTCCACAACACCCAACGCAGTCATCCTACGCTCCAATTCTTCAAGTCCTTGACATCTTCGGTGGGAAGCAACAACTTTATCCAAGGAGGAGTTCAGGACAAGGTTGAGGTCGCCGCAGACGATGTGGCGCGCAGAGTCTTCGAAGTCGAAGGGGAGGAAGTTGAAAAAGTCGGCTTTGCTTGTGTCTTCACCCGTAAGTGCATAGACGACGTGGATGTAGACTTGAAAGTCGGCCAACCGACCCTTATCCTCTAGATAGCGGTTTCGGTTATTCGCTGGCAAGTCGACAGGAGTAACATCTTCCAGAGCTTGAATGGGGCACAAGCTGGAGAAGAGCAGAGCACACCCGTCGCGCTTGGAATAAAGATTGCAACTTTGACCAAAAATTTGAGCCGTTGGCATCAGTCTTGGACCAGTTGAGGGCAGTCATGGCGAGCATGTCTTCAGAGGAGATGTGGGTTTCTTGGAGCGCGATAAAGTCGAAGCGTCGAAGCGGGTAAAAGTCGTGAGGGGTATTTTTTGCTAGCCCATTGGCATTAATGGATATACCATTAATGCCCCAATTATGGGCTGGCGCAAATACTTGACTTGATCATGGCAGAAAAGGCTGCAGCAAAGGGTGCCGTAAAGGCAGACGAGATCATTGCTTGGCCAAGATCCGAGTATACCCAGTCAGAGAGGGTGTCGTCCGACCAAAGCAGCAGCCTTGTACTGTCGATAGAGACCAGTTCTTCGACGTGGAGTGCCGCAGCCAGCTTGACAGGGTCAAAATACACGGATGGAGCAGCCAAGTAGGCGGCAGAGCGCATGCTGGGTCGCATGCTGCACCCAGAAGTCGGTAAGTCAAGGGTCTTCAAGCGCAGACGGAAAAAGGAAGGTTGTGCTTGGACGGCTTCGAGAAACCGCCTAGTGACGCGTTGGCAGAGTCAGCCTTGGTTGTAACTTGAATTTCTTCAAGTTTGATATCTTCAGTCGGCACAGGAAAAAGTCGAGCTATGATTTTCTTGTGCCAGGTTGAAGGGGGGTCCTTGGACGTAGGCAAGGACTGAGTTATCGCTGGCGGTGCTGGCGACGTCGTCGGCACTTGTTGCTGCGATGGTGGGGTGGTTGCCTTGGTAGGACGCTCGGGAAATTTTCGCCGTTTCCCCTCGAGACGGGCGGCACAATTTCATTGAGCGCTGAGATCTTGTGCACCACACAGGTCGGCGGTTGATCGACAGCTAAAACGATTTCGCGAAGCGGCTCATCTTCCTTGTGCTGAGACCAAAGGTAGCCAGGCACTTGCTTTGAGTTGAAAATAACCTTGAGCAAGTTGGAGTGCAAAAACACTCCCGCCGAAATGGTGGGGAAAACCGACACCGGAGAGCAACCGCGATTTTCGAAAAAGTCGAAAACATCCAGGGGGTGACAGCCGAGGGCACGCGGTGGAGCTGGACCCAATAAAATTGCCCAACCAACGATGGGGCGTGAATAATGTGGTCATAACCACAAATATTCACGACCAGGTTGCGCAAAAGTCCGCTGATTTCCAGGTTGTTGGTAAAAAATCGCACACCTTTGCCACGCACCATGGCAAAGCCAAACAAATGGGGTCTTGCCGTAACCCAAGCTGGGTCAGAGAACTCTAAAAGTGAGTTCATGATGACCGCCAGCGGAAAGGTTTGGGTGAGATTGGCCGCAGGGATCCAAAACTCTTGGGAGTCTTCCCTGGCACAAGGGGAAGATGGAATAAGAGCACGACGTTCTTGCGGCGACGCCTGGAGCGCTTGAAGAATTAATCCTTCAGGGAGAGCGCTTACGGCACGTTGGTGGGTGGTGTACCATTTGCGCCGCCAGGTGTCAACGTTCGGCGGCGGAATCTTCGTGGCAGATGCAGCCCCCGCATAAGAGTGGCTAATAACCGGCTTTTTCGGGCGGCCAGCAGGACTGTCGGTGGGTAGAGCGGGGGTGGGAGTGTCCAGACGGGGATATGTTGAAGATATTTCCAGTCCCAATGAGGACGGAAATATGTTCAACATATCGCCGTCTGGAATATCCAGGTGGGTAGGGACAGAAGGGTCGAGACCAGCGGATGCGGCAAGAGAAGCGGCAGAAAGAACCGGCAGACCAGTATTTTCGGCTTGACCGGCTTCTGCAAGCACACCCATGTCAATGTCCATAGATAAATCTAGTGAACGTGACAGTGGGTGCCCACGCAGGCCCTGCGTTGTCGCAGGGAAGTTCGGACGAATCAAGTTGCTGGGCAGCATGATAATCAGACCAGTTTTCGCGTTTTTTGAGCGAGCAAAGCCGACTCGACGAAGCTACCCGACGGGCGATAGCAATGGAAACAGGGTCAAGGGATTCCGCAGGACTCTCCAATGCACTGGATTCCAAGGAATCACCTGAGGAGATAGCTTCGACTGCCCCCACCGAATGCTGAGTTAACGACGAACTCAGGCAGTCAGAGGGGGGGGCGGGAGTCAAGCTGAGCCGCTAAAAGATCCGAGGGACCTGCACCGGTAGAAGTCGCGCTTACGCTGGCGCCCACTCCAACGAGGGCATCGAGGCTCGTGGCAGTGACGCAATGACCACTGCCTACAGTCCTTCCAGCGGTTTCGCCTTCTCTGGTGGTGAGATCAGGCCGGTCATCAGCCACACAGGCAACAGCGACGTCAGGCGGGATGGCGGTGGCATCGCTGTCGTTGACAGCAGCACGGGTGGCGTCGCGGGAAGCAAGACGGGGAACTCGCGGTGTCGCCGGGATGGCGGCATCACGGGGAAAAGCACGAGAGGAAGCGGTGGGCATAGCTGCACAGAAAATTTGAGTTGAGACGGGTGCATCTGTGCACCAGAAGGCAAATTCGAAGGTCTACTAGTAAGGACCTAAGCCAATCAGATGCCCCCAAACAGTCGCTTTTTCACCAATCAGATCTTATTCTGATTTGCGTTCCACCGAAATTTGACATCTTGGTTTGGGATACGGCCAACCGACCTTCGCGCGGTTGAGTCGGATCTGGGCACCCAGAACACTTTCCCCTCCTAGAGAGAGTGTCCGAGCGTTTCTTCTAAGGCCGCCCGCAGTGTCTAGATTTCTTCTTCGCCAGCGTTCTTTACAATCCAACGCCGCATCACAACCGCAATGTCTTCGTACAATTCGAATGCAGGTTCCCAAGACGCTTCTTCTTCTTCTAGCCCCTTCCACTTGACCAGAACTTCATGTCTTCCTTTGTTGCAACGCGCCGCCAAGAGGGCCTCGACGTAGAAACTTTCTTCACTGAACGCGGCGTAATCCATCAGGTTAATTGTCACGTCGAGATCCGCGTCGCGAAAGAACTTGAGCCGGCTGGCGTGGTGCAACATTGTCTCGTACGGCTCGACCAGTTGCTAACTTCCATGACGTAGTCTGAGTTCACTCTTGACACGCGGTAAGGCCCTTTCCAATTCAGGGCCAACTTGTTCAGGTACTTCAGCACCCGGCCAACAAGTACGAAATCGCCAACTGCAAACTTCGCCATGAGTACATTCTACTTTCGCCCATGCTGGTCTCTGGCTTGCCTGCGCAACTTCACGCTTCGCACAGCGACATCCCGATGCAAGTCGGCTAGAGCTTGTCGCAACTCGGCCATGTGCTTCATTCTTGTGTTGGCAAGCCAGTCCACGGTCACCACTTCCTTTGTCCTTGGATGTACGAACCCAGCAATCGGTGGTGTTGACGGCAAACATTGAAACGCCGTCACCGGAGACGCATAACCCAGCCGATCCGCCGGCTGGTGGTTCAGGGCATTTTGAACGAGCGGCAATACCCTGTGCCACTCGTCCTGTCGCAACTTCATCTCGCTGAGGAGGGTCTACATCCCGCGCTTCACGAGGCTGTTCATCACGTCCACCGTCCCGTTCGCCCATGGCGTGTAAGGCGCGGTGATGTGGTAGTGGGCTCCGATCATCTTCTTTATCCTGTCCACCGCTTCGTTCTTGAAATGGCTACCGCCATCTGACACCCATGTCCGGATCGTGCCGTGTGTGACAATCCAGTCCAGCTACGCGTTGGCTGTACTCGCGGCACCCGCTGTAGCCGAGGGAAACATGCGACAAAATCCGCTCATGTCGTCCTTCACAACAAGCACGTAATTCCAGCCGTTCGAGGCTGGAGGCAGATGTAACCAGTCGAAATGGATCAGCTCGTTAGGGCGTTCCGCATGCAACGCCGCGCCCCATGGGCGCGGAACCACGACTCCGTCCACACAGGGGCAATTCAAACAGCCACCGACGAAGGCCTCGATGTCTTCCTTGGCTGTCGCCCACTCGAACCGATCGAGTACGCCCCATCACAGTCCCACGTGTGGTTACCAAGGCCGTGTACCGCCAATACCTAGTGGAGCATGTGATTCCCGCGATCAAGCTAAAGTGGCCTGGCCGACGCTCTGAAGTAATTTGGATACAGCAAGACAACGCACGGCCCCACGTCGCAGCCGACGACCCTGCTATTGTTGCTGCGGGCCATTCGAACGGGTGGAACATTAAGCTAACACTGCAACCCCCCATTAGTCCGGACTTTAATGTCCTGGACCTTTTTCAACGCTATCCAAAGTTTGCAGCATCGATCGCTGGCCCGCACTATCGACGAGCTTGTGTCTGCCGTCGAGGTGGCGTTCAAAGACCTGCATCATGTTGTGCTGGACAAGACCTTTGTCACATTGCAAACAGTCATGGAAGAAACGTTGAAAGTTGGGGGCGACAACTGTTTCACTCTGCCGCATTCGAAAAAGGACAAGCTGTCAAAGGAAGGTAAGTTGAAGGTTCGTCCTGTTTGCAACGTTGATGCAATTGCAGGCACGTCTTCTATGTGAAGAACAAATGGACCGACTTAGTGAAGTGTTCAATGTGTCATGCTCGATTGGATTGTCCATGAACCGGGACGGGATTAGTCGAGTGTGTGATGTGATCAACCACATTGCTCTAGATAATGACGACTAATACTTGCAGTACATCATGGTGGTGTTGGTAAATTAATCATGACGCAGCCTGGCACTAAACACCCTACAGGGTTGCTACAGGTAGACCGTCAGTCAAAGCTGCCACTGACCTGTAGCAACCCTGTGGTGCCTCAAACCTCCTCTGTCGCCCCGGACTTTGCGACACCATTGTCAAGCAACGAAACCCCATGATTGAAGGATTTGATGGACATTCATCCTGCCTCAAACAAGTCAACGAAGTCGCAGGAACTTTAGTATTGGAAGGATTGTAGCGGTGTAGGGCACAGAGGTGGCCAAGGAGAAGAGGTGACTGAGCAGGCGAAGGGAGAAAAGCAAAGTGAGTAGATTGTTGGAGTTTCAACAGAAGCTAATCTGAGGACATAGATATGGAGCATTCAGCAAGATGTGTCATGCTTGTCGCAGGATGAGCGGCTTATGGGTAAGCCACACAACAAGGATGGACGCTTCCAGATCTATAGTTTACGGAATGGCATCTCGTAAAAAAGGACTTTGACATCATTCTGGGAAAAACTTGGTTTCATCGTTACAATCCCAACTTCGACAGAAAAAATCACAAGTTACTCTCGATTAAACCACGCGGAGAGTAAGTCAGTCCCAAGTGTGGACAATGCATAGGTGATCAAGATTACCACTGTCGCAAGTGAAGTGAAGACGATCCTACTGCAAATTCAACAAGTTTTGGACAAGTATGCTATGATGTTCCCCAACGCCTTACCTGACGCGTTGCCACCCCAGCGAGGAATTGAGTTTGACCTTTCCATACGTTCGGACACAAAGCCGCAGTATAGCCCGCCGTTTCGTTTGTCGCAAATCGAGCAAGCTTCATTGGACAATTTTATCAATGATCTCGAGCGAAAGGGTTAGATTCAGCTTTCCAACAGTGACTGGGTATTTTGTGTTGATCGATTGTCGATTTGACTCCTTTGTACTGACATCCTGTATCTTGTCATGAATAACGATGTCACAAACGTATTACGTACTGTACCATCGAGGTCATCCTGTCCATGTTTATCATTCCACACTATGGTCTGACTAGCGCCAACGATTGCCACGGCCGAGGTCGACAAGATCTGAGGATTCGTCAAGCAAAGTCGCCCATCTAGCTTAACTAAAGAAGAACGTCTCAACATTTTACTTCTTCACGCTCACTTTCGACATGATGGTATGGAGGATGCATCGGACTCACCGAGTTGCGGGACTACCCTTGGTCTCCAGGACTCTGCAGATGAACACGTGACGGCGGATGAGCAAGTGCTATCAGACATCAGCCATGCATCATACGACGATGACCATATCTGCGATCATCGATTAAGCAGCAGCAACTCGTCCAGCAGCGAGTGGGCGACGACTGTGGTCTTTGGCACCTGTAGAAAAGTAAACTGACGGCTTATAATTTTTATACCACTCTGCGTTGCATAGTAGAGTGAGCGGCGGAACGGAACGCCATCAGAAATTTGACTCGGACTACTCTATTTTGTCCAATAATATTACTTACTAGAATAAAGCAATGTAATTGGCTAGTGATACTATTCATCTAAATTTATCAGACGCGAGTCCTAAAAGTCTATGATCTGCAATAATGAGTAACAGAGGTCAATTTTACAATGTCAAAGAGCTCTTTCCTACAGTATCACAACCTGCAATAATATTTGAAAGCGGATTCATTCAAGAATGAAAGTCCTGATATCCCCCCGACTTGGACACGGTGTAAAATAAACACTCTCTATGGATAAAATATAAGTCCCTCCAGGAATATTTGAATTTTTAAACTGCAATGTACTTTTGATCTCCATCACTTCAAAATGAAACAGTGGATGACACTGGCCGACAAGAGCGACTTGTTCGCGCAACACATGCAAAAGCAACAAGCGACATACAATGAATTGGCAAAGTGGGCAGCGCAAACGTTCGCAGTCGCGACAACTCCAACAAATCTGCCATTAGAAATGCCCTTAAACGCGGTGCAACACAAACACAACGCGTCGACAACAAGGCGCGGTACATTGATCGTGCAGTTAAATCTCCTGAGCTCGAAACCGAACTTCTCCAATGGGTCCTACGCTGTGAGGAACTTGGC